TTTGATGGAACAGGGATGGACTCCTTAGGTTTGTGAAGAACGGGTGACACCCCTGGAGACTGATGCTACTTCAGCTGAAATCAGTTACAGATTTCTCTTAGCTTTTTTAGAAGAGAAAGACATTATCCTCTCTTGGATATGTCTGACCACTGCCATGATTATAAAGAAGAAATGCCCACTGATTTTGGTGAAAGTGATGGAATAGAAGGGGAAATAGTCATTGTACCACCAAAATAAGAATCAATAATAGAAGGGTCTAGATGCAGAATATAATTATGACCACTCTTCAAAAACTAGACTTTTTCTCATACTTTACATCATACTTCACCATAAATGCCTGAATATTTAAATGTATACGCCTGGAATAAACCCCTAAGTTTTAAATTTTGTATTTTGAGGCAGGAAACACCAAACAAAAGGAGGAAAAAATCATGCATACATATTTGGCACTTCACAGGTCCAACCATACTTAATGCCCTTCATAAACATCTAATGAAAAATGAATTTATGTCACTTAGCCAAATTTATTTCTGTTTGCATTCCATCTTTTGAGATTTTTTTGGTTTCCATATTGCTGAAAGGCACAAAAAAATTCTCAAATTTATTCAAGCTGTTAGGAAAGAAATGCACACAGAACATTAAGTAGTTGCTCAAATGTTGCTGAGCAGTAAAATACTATGATAAAGTGGCATCTTGCTGTGTCTCTATTACTTCTTCAGCACTAAAATTAATTTATGATCAGTCATCAATTCATTTACATGTCATTTTATGCTAAATCTATCGTTGCTGATGAATGCATATCCCTAGATCCATTAAGCTAGAGTAAAGTCTGTGCTTTATAACATGACCCTGCTAATTGTTGCATTACCATTTTTATGAGATACAAAAAGTAGCAGTTTCCTATTTTCTGAGCACGTATTTAATCCATGAAACACATTCTACCTATTAAATGCAATCTGTCTTAACTGCTTATAAAATAGAATTTTTTGCAATAGGTATCCCTAAGCAAATCAATATAAATATTGAACTCTGCCATGGCTCATATGGCTCATGAAAATGATATTGTGCAATTTTCAAGAATTATTCCATTTGTTCTCAGACACAATGAATGAAAAACTTTTTCCACGCAGACAGTGATCAGTGATTCTTTTAACCAAGACCTAAACATGTCAAATAAGGGATATTCTTCCTTGCTGAGCCATACGGGCTACAGAGATTTTTATAATTTCAGATCTATACAATTCTATTGAAAAAAAAAATTGTTATCCATTTGCTGTGGCACTGTTTACAAGAATATCTCTCTGTTTATGTCACTTTGCACCAGTTAGGTAAAAGAGGGTTTGTTCTAATTTCCATGCTAGTTGATGGGTGTATCTCTCCCCTCAGTTAAAATGCACCAGGACTGAAGATACAACAGCTTGCACTACCAGCTTCACTGGTGGTGCTGTGGGAGGAGAAAATAAGGAGAGGGGAAAGAAAACCTCCAAACCATAATACTTAAATCTGAAAAAACTAACCTTGTTCTTAGTGATTTCAGTGAGAGGCAAATTAATTTCTTATATGGTCATCACATGCAATTAATTAAATCTAATAAAGTAGAATAATATAACAGACTCTTTGTGATCATTCATGCCACAGCTCTGCACAGCAATTCATTATTAAAGCAAACATTAAACATAAGCAAAAGAAAATACATATTTCATTGTGCCTCCGAAAGCAAAAAATAACCCTAAAAAATCGTGAATTAACAGTCAAGTGAGCAAAAGTTTTACCACTGCTTTCCAGTTCTTTCTTTTTCTTTCTTTCTTTTTTTTTTTTTTTTTTTTTAAAGCAGAATCAGTGACTAAGTATCCTAACAAACTGGAAATGGAGGAAAACTTCGGCTTTAATTTCAAATTCCATCCCACGAACATTCAAATCCAAACCTCCCTCCCCGAGTTCTCTTTGCCATATCTGGAGAATGTTAAGATACAGTCACTGTGCACTCCTCCTTTCTTTGCACTTTATTATACACGTCAACATTATGTCTCTGCCACCTGCGAAGAGAAAAGCTTAATAGCGCAGATTAAATCCTTGTCTGAATCTTCAACTAGCTGTAACTAAAACTCGAGGGCCTGGAAGACAACTTGACTTTTAAACAGTTTAAAGCAGCAACACTGTGGTGTCAGAGGAATTTAGTAGTTTGCGCTTTGGCTCACGCAGTGCCAGGGTTTCCCCTCAGAGAATCCCACATTTTGGCACTCAGTGAAATCCTGGGTCTCAGCTCAGCCAGGAAGAACAAAGCACCATTTCAATCCGAGAGCATGCTAACAGCACAGGGTGAGGAAACTTGCCCTGCTCCCTGCACAGCAACTCTATTGGAGGGAAATCTGGACCAAGGGATGTCAGTATAGATTTCTCACAAACACCGAACTCACAAGGCACTTCAAAATGAACAGAAATATTGCTTCATCTGGGTCAGATATTCTCATTTGTCTCCATTTTCAAATATAATGTTTAGAGAAGTGAAAACATGGTCTAAAAATTCCTAGGAAAATGCTGGTTTAAGTCACCAAAGGCTCTGTGAAAAGAAGTAGCTTATATATTCTCAGTGCAATAAAACAATTTAGTTGTTTTACAGTATTTTAAAAGCAATCAAACTGAAGAATGAGAAGCAGCTTGGAAACAATGAAAGCAATTTGCCATACCCTCATTAACAAGAGTAAACGCAGCCTGGAAGAGTTAACAGAAACAGATAAACAAAAATTAAGATTCTCTTTTGGAAAAAAAAAATCCCAAGTATAATAAGCAGCTTCCTTCCACCCCTAAAAAAACCCCAAGCCCAAAACAAACCGTCCTAAAATCAAGGTTTTACCCATGTAGTAAATGAGGAAAACAGAAGCAGCTTTGTTATTTGTATATTTTGCCATTTTACAGATCATTTAGACTAACACTCTGAGTGTATCTTTTGTAAGGCTCTAGTTCCCTAATTGTTTTAAGTCAATCTAAGAATTGGTTGTATGCTAAAGGGGCAATCTATCATCCTGCTTCCCTTCCAGCTGCACATTCCCTTCCTGCAGTGCCAGCACACACCTTGCCATGCGGTGAACCAGATCAAGGAACAGATCCAGCTAGTAATTAAACAACCAATAGAAAAAGCAAAAGGAAACCTTTAATTTTCACCTGGATGAGGCCACATCAAGATAGTGGTGGTGATGAGTGGGTGTGCATTAAATCACCTTAAGTACACTCCCAGTCTACATAATCAGGTTCTGCCCAATTTCTTCTAAAATAACACAGCAGGAAGTTTTTAACATTCCAATTACACTTTTAACACTCCAATAATACAACAAGATTTATAAATATTATAAGAAACTTGAATGTTGTTCAAAAAAGGTTAAATTGTAATAAACACAAAAGTCTACAACTTGGAGCAGGAACACAGCTATTCCTTATTTGCTCTAGGTATGGTGGTCCAAAATATCAGGTGAAAATGCAAATGTGAAATAATTTTCTGATTTACAGATACATAAACATTGGCATATTAATATATGCCAAATGAAAAAGATATACAAACCCAATTTTTTTTATTTATTGCTGTATTACCACTGCAAAACTCCTACTGCATTCCTAATGGAAAGACTTCTAAGCCATTAGTGAAATATGCAAAAATATGCAGAATTATAGCCCGAAGGAGATTATGCTGGAAATTCAAGCAAAGTGACTTAACATACTCATGCAGTAATAAGTTAACCTTCTCAATTCAGGGATTTAAACTTTAACTCTATGGCCTTCAGTTGAATCTGGGTTTCAAATCACAGCAGCAGAGATACAATTCTTAAATCTTAATTAGATTGGTAAGCAGTCTGGCCCAAGGGTGAAGGAAAACCTGGAAAGTGGGATTAAACTACACACAAGGGATTCAACAAGGGAAAAGGAAGAAAATTTATAGGTATTGATGCTCCATCACTGTCATATTTGCCCAGTGTTTTCAGAATAGCAATCTTTGGAATTTCAAAGCTCCAGAACAAGGAGATGGAATTCAGTGGCACTATGGTAGTAAGTTGTACTGAACAAGTCTCCCTTAAGGTACAACTAACAATCAGTATTTGCCTGCTGAGATCAAAGACTGAAGCAGCACCCACTAGCTTTCATGAGCTATGGACACTGGGACATTTGGGACATTCGGGTCTTTAGCACCCCTGCACCTTATGGACACATTATATCATATAGAGGCCCAAGTTCAACATGAAGGGAAATACACTGATGCTTAAGAAAAGGACATTATGTATTTTAAAACCAAATGTCTTTCGCTGCCTACATTTCTCCAACAGCCATTTTATTCATTCAGATCCTGTGCATTAGTTTAGCAGGGCTTTCTGGATCCCCTTTGATGATGATGGAGCTTTCCAAGGCATGCAAAGGGCAAGAAGCAGTTAGGGAAGGAGGGTCAGAATAATTAAATAGCTTTCCTGAAAAGGAACAATTACTAAATTCAGCAATACAAAGTAGGTTTAAAATACACATTTTCCTACATAAATGTTACATTTAGTCTAGAAATAAATGTTGTGGTGATCTAACTACACTTACTCTGAAGTCTTTTAACTTCCTTATGTTCATCTAGGAAAGCATTTTCCCAGCAAAATATCTGAAAGTGCTTTAAGATAACATTTTTATGCTGCTTCTGATTTATGAAATATATATTCCTAAGCTGAGGTCTCCCCCCTCCTTTTTATGTAACTGCCTTGCTTCTCTAGTAGAATGAACTTTTCATGAAAGCTAGGATATAATTGAGTTTTCTTTCAAGTCTTTAAAGCTTTTTAAAATTCATGAATTTTCTTATCATTTTGCAGCAAAGCAAAGTATTCCCAAATCCTTCTTTAACTTTAGTGTTTAGTATTAACACATTTTAAACGTTACAGAAATGGAGTGGAATCAATTTTCACTTAGAAAGTATTGGACCGATGATGTATTTTGCTGTTAGGAACAAGTTGGTGTCACTGTTAACTGTGTTTGGTTACCTGTCACAGAGCTGTCTAGATTGTCCATACTGGAGCCTGGAGTGTGTTCTAGACCTCTTAGTGGCCTACTGATTTCTACAGTTTCTTCTTCAATATCATCTTCATCATCATCCTCATCTGGAACATCTGTTTCCAAATCTGAAATAAGGTTTCCAGATACGTATCCTAGGGGCGGAACGGGAGCCTGAGGAGGTTGTGTATTGCTTTGGATGTGCCTACACAAATAAAAAGGAAAAGTTACCAGAATGGATGAGACTTTGTACCCCACGGTCAACAAAATACACGCTTTTCAACAGATCCTGAAGTGGATTTACAAAATGTGATTGTTAGGTGAAACTCAAGAAAAGACAGTTCAGTTATTCACCATAGCTTCTAATACCAGAGTACCTGCACACTTTCCAGTCTTAAATATACTTCTCCTCCTCTAGGATGGGGAAGGTCAAGACTGTCCTTTTACAGATGAAGAGCGATATACACAGAGGCTGCATAAATCAGGTAGGAAACCCACGGAAAAGCACAATTCTGAATCCCAGCCCAGCATTTAAGTGTCTCACCCAATATTCCACCTTGCAAATCACACATTGAACCAAACCTAAATTTCACTCCTTTCGCTCAAACAGACACAGTGCCCTGAAGCAGAAGTCACCCTAAGGAGGAGGAAATGGCCAGCAGGACAGGAGAAATTTTCAAGCCCAGTGAACACATTATCAGTGAGGTCTTTTCATTTTGCTTTATTCCAAGTAGTTTAATTGATTTAATTGCAGCAGTATTAGGGCATGCATGTGTGAAATTACTGTATGCAGCAGTCACAAATAAAAAAAAAGAAAAACAAAGATAAAAAACCCACCCACAGTATAGCTAAATGGCCAAAGGCAAGCATGGGATTTGGAGTCTCATTTGCCTGGTCTCTGAGAGGATACAGAGGAAAACAACACCATCAGCTTTCAAAGCAGCATTCCCCACACCACAACAAGTACACCACAAGCTGTGCCGGGGACCCAGGTATGACTGGCCTTGGCATAAGAGCATGCACCACGCTTAAAATTGCTAACTTAGGCACGTAGGAATCCTTGGGTGAGTGTACATGAGGTGCCATGGCCTGGTTCAAATTGGCAGCACTCTGGATGGGACCCAGAATTCTGCTGCTCTCTTGCTTGGACATCAGTATAACAGAAAAAATTACAGCTGTCCTGTGTTTGGTTCTGTGCTCCACTACATTTTCAATGAAAACTTTGTGCTGTATTATTGCCTACACTCAATGAGTACAGTAATTCTCTTTATTCATTGAGCTTTCCCCCTGCCCCCCATAATGTAAATCTATCAGATATGAGAATGTCACAGTAAATCTTATGTACCACTGGAATCAATCTCCACCGCTCTGTAGGTTTTAACTTATAGTTTATTCTGAACCCTATTTGCAGAGCAAATGCTTCCTTTTGGATATACAACCCCCTTCTGATTAGCAGTTCTTGAATACTTTTCTTCCTGGACACCAGGTTCTCAGCTATGCAGTGTTCAAAACACTGTGCTAAAGGGCACTACCATCTAACTAACTCTCAATAAACAGTGTGATTAGCTCCCAATCAAGCAAAATGCTTAAGTATATGCTTAATGTTAAGCTTGTGATAGAACAATTGAAGTCAATTTCTCATGTACTTGTAGTTAAGCATATACTTAAGTGATTTGCTGGATCAAGGCCATAATGATTATGTACTTTTCCAGTAATCTCTAATGTGCTCTTTCTTAAATTCCTAGTTGTCTCTTCTCTATATTTCTCTCCTGTTACTCCCACAGTAACCTACTTGACAGGTCTCATCTTTCTGCTTTGCCTTCCCCTCTCTCTACACTGGACAGGTTAACTTTGCAAAAAGAAAACTAAGAAATCTCCCTTCCCAGTTAAAGCAATGGAGGACTTTCTACTGACTTTGAGCAGCATGACACATATCCAGCCAAACAATATAAAAGCATTCAACAATTCCATTGCACAAAAATCACTTGTATTTGCAACCCTCAATATTTACTCCAATAACTATAAGGTCTCAGAATGAAAAAAAGTTATCTCCTCGATTTTTTCCCCCCCCTATAGTTTCAGGCTCAATTACTGTGACCTTACCCAAGAGCAACATTAAAATCTGTATATTCCTAAGTGCATTATGAAAGTTCCCAATCAATTTTCATTTCTCCAAAGAGGGAGCAAGACCTTTCCTGTCAGCTGCAAGAGGCTTTGTTGCAGTGTCCTGCTCCATTATTGGTGCCTGGACTGGAACCCGAGGTTTGTAGGGTGTAGAAAGGGTAACAGCTGCAAAATGCAGCAGCGAGTCACTGTGCTGGCAGGGTGTGCATCTGTGTGCTGGCTCAGAAGTCAGCTACCTTCAATAGGCCAGGTCTAGCTGCTGCCTGGGATTTGGGCCTGTCCCACAGGCAGGCCGGGGTCCGTGCTTGGCAGCGTGGCACTGCAGCGGGACCAAAGTACCCTGTTGATTAAGTGCAGATTGCAGACAAGCCTCGAGGCTTCCACGGTGTCCAGGGAAAACAGCTGGCTTTGATTTGGCACCGCCTGCCTACCTGCCTGATCTATTTACGGGAGCTCAAGCTGAATAACTTTGTGGCTTTATTTACCAGCGAAGAAAGGCTGCTCCTCTGCTGGCAGTGTGCCATTCAGTAACTAGCTCTGCTCCTCTCCTCTGAGATTCACGGGCTTTGTCTGAGCAGAAAAGTTGTAAAAGGACAACTGCTGCTTAGGGAACATCCAGGAAGCAACTGACCTTCACCGTATCCCCAGCCTGGTGCACTTGACAAGTTCTTTTTTCAGTCCCTGAAGAGATTGCTTCTGTTTGTTTTGCAGGGGAAATGTTACTGTGGTATTTGCTTGCTCTTCCTTTAAATAGGTATAAAGCACTCTAAAACACTAGATCCATTTTGTAAATACTAACAACTTTCTTCCCACTGTTTCTGGGTTTTTCCTATGAATCAGAAATTCTCATGGTATTTCAAACTACAGTCAGAGATGCAAATGCTCCATTCTCATGTGACACCGTGTAAAAGCTGCTCTAGTGCTATTTCAAGTGACTATCATTATTTTCAATGATTTTCAGGAATTTAGAATCTCATTATTTTTGAAAATCCCAGAAAATTCACATCTTTTGCTAGCCTGAAAAGAGAGTACTCTTGAATGTATAAAAGTTGTCAGTAGGTGGGTGTTAACTACTTGAGCATATGTAAAATTACAGAGGAACATTGTTTTTACATGCTTTTAGACAAGATTTAACTTATTACCAAGCATTACAATTTAAAATGCACCTACTAATGTTTAAGGCCTTCACACTCCAGATATAGTTTTACTATTTCTTCTTCCATTTTACTTCTTCGGAAATATTATTGAAATGTTGTTACACATGGTCAATATTTATGTCATAGAAGAATAAATGATGATGATGATGATGATGATGATGCTTTCATTTCCCAGATCACGAGTGCTCCCTTCAAACACTTACCATGTCTGCTTTGCTATATCAAACTGGTAAGCCCTTGTTAATTCATCAAGGTGAGCTTGAAGCATTGGCTGCATCTCCTCTCGTGGGGAAGGCGTGAGGGTTGCAGTCGACTGTTGCCCAAAGGAGATGGCAGGTGATGAAGCTACTCCTCGGACAGGAGGTGTGGGAACACGATCATCATCTTCTTCAAGCTCATCCTCCATGCCCTGATGTAGGTAGGTCTGAACTGGCAAAGGCGGACACCAACCATCACTGTCGTATCTAAAATGAAAACCAAATAAATTTATCAAAACTCATCTCTGCCACACAGTAGAGGGTGTAAAGGGCAGGTGGGATTTCTGCTATAGCTGTAACCCTCACATGCAGTGGAACTCCTTAACATTCAATGAAAATAGGGTCATAATTGCTTAAATTGTCCTTACCGAGTCAGTTTAATTTTTCCCACAACAGCTAAGCAGCTTGAACAAGAAGCGCAACAAAAAAATTACTGACCCGTTATCACAGTTGTTAATGGTGATTAGATAATGTTACACCACAATCAACAACAGCAATGAACTAACTCTCTTCCAGGATCATTAATCTAGGAGAGTGCATGAAGATTGACCTAGACACGAAAATAGCAGCATTCTTAAAAGGCAGAGCAAGCCTTACATAGTTGCACTTATGCACTTATTTACTTCCATCCTCCCCTTCATGGATAAATTTACTCTTTGTTTCTATTTTGAAGCTACACTTTCCTCATAAATGCTGGTCTTCCCACACTGCAAATATGTATCTCCTCTGATGTGTAATACATTCATGTCACAGCAGCAGTGACCTTAAGCATATGCTGTGTCACAGCACCAGCTGATAAGGTGCATCTGCCAGCACCCCACCTCCTAACCAATCTGTACTGGGACTCACCTAGACACTGCTGAATTTCTGAACACTTTCAACACATCTGCCTGAAGTAAGTTAAAAGATAAACAACTACCAGTATTCTTGGACACCAAATTCTTCTCTTTTCATATATAAGAGGTGTTCTTATAGGTGTTTGTGGTTCAATTTTTGCCTTATACCAAAGCTGTAAGAGGTGATGCTACATCTGATCAGGGCTAGAAACAGAAGCTTTATATTTAGTTATCACTTTTTATGTAAGCTTCACCAGCAAGTCAATCCTTTTCAGTCTCTCTACTCATCACAGGACCTTTTAATTCAGTGTTGTATTACAGTATCATCTCGGGATCCTGTCCCTTGGGGACAGTGGCATCACTCAAGGTGTACAGGCCTTAGTGACTGTGGTCATTCCCTGTGTATTATCTCCCCAGAGTAATTCCCTAATCTGAACACAACTTCAGTTGTGCACAGCTCTGCTGACGATCACACCACTCAAATCTCAACTGTCTACTTTTCCCATCTTCAAAACACCCAGTCAGTCAGCAGGTCCCTTGAGCATCGGGACACATTTCTTCTTAACTCCCAGTGTATTCCAAAATAACTCAGGATAGACAGCTTTTTTTTTTCTACAGGCAACCAGACAACCAAAAGCTCTCACAGCTCCTTCACTGTCAAACCATCTCGCTCTCTAAAGGCCATTTTACAAGCATCATCTACTAAGTCACTTTATCTTCTTTCCACCTTCAAGGACTGCTGACAAGGTCCTTTTTTTCTGCAATGCAGGCAGGCAATGTGTTGTGCTACACAGTTAATTTCTCAAACCAGTTTAAGAATACTCCTTTAAGGCTTCTGATTCGGAAGGAAGGAACTACCAATTTCCCCGAGAAAAATTAATTACTGTCAATTTTCTCAAGTGTGAAGCCAGGTTATAAAAATGCTGGGAACACTGAGATGGAGAAGTTGCAAAACCTGTATTATGAACAAACATTTACTTTAAGCAAAACTCATAGATTTCTAAAATTAACTAGACTATCGTTTCCTTATTCAGACTCTTTTTAAAAGCACAGATTCTGGATAGCTAAAACAACTTGATCTAACCATCCAAAAGTCTGTGGAAGACATATTTGGTAATTAACACTGATATTACTTTAAATCTATATGTAGATATAACAATATATAGATACACAAATACACGTATGTGTACAGAGGTGAAAATAAAGGCTGAATCTCAACCCTTGGCATTTAGGAGCTTTTCACTGTTTGATCATTACCATTTTGATAATACAGAGATTTAAGAAAATGTTAGATGATAGATATTCATCCTTAGCAGACAATTAAGATATGGCCAGCTGTAATATCTCCTTCCTAACAATACTCACCCATGACATTTGCACCCAAGGCTGAAGGGACCATCCTAACTCATGCTGCTAAAAATGCAACAACTCTTTCACTTACTTTTGCTCTCTCAACCTCATGCCTAGGTATAATGTCTTCTACTTTAAAAGGGACAGGGCAAAAAGGTCCTCCCTGGTGACTTCTCAGTGATGAATAAATGAGCTTTGGAAGTGCTCGCCTTTTGACCCTTCTTGCTTCAAATTCCCTAATGTTTAGCTTGATAGTAAAAAGATTTCTCACTAAAAAGATTTCTTAGTGAAAAGATTCTGCACAAGTACCGTACCTTTACCTAAATTTTGTTTGAAATGGAAAGCAGCCTAAGCCTGAAGTTTGGGACATTGAGATTCAAGATTTCAGGTACAAGAACCCTTGCCTTCATATTGTAAGACGTCCAAAAAAGCCACAGGTTCTAACCTGCATTTAGAGAAGGGGGGAAAAAAAACAAACAAGCCTGCAAGAGAGAGCTAGCAAACTTAGGAGACTACATAGCAACTACACCTCACATAAATGATTTAGTTACAGAAACTTCCGGTACCAACAGAGTATTGGTCACATCCATGTTCTTTTTGGTTTTCTGAGTAAATCCAACAGGGTGAAAATGCAATTTTTGAAGTACTCTTATTAAAATCTAAGCACCTTAACTACATTAGAGATCTCTGACTGTAATTTCATTAATTAAGCCTCTATTAAGTTCTGGTTAAAAAACATGACTCTCTATATTTCTAATAGTTTTTATTGTATTCTCAGCACTTTCATCCTATAACAATCTTTTGCTATTAAAAAACTTGATTCGTTACACTGATAGATTTTTTTTCCTTCAAGATAGAAAATAAAGGTGATGGATAATGGGCACATTCCATAACAGCTCTGTTTCATTACACACACAGTTGCAATAAAGGATGTTTCCCTCCCTAGGCCTCACCAGAAAAGATTTTTTGATGTGAAAGGTATTATTTTCTTAACTTTTTCCAAATACAGAAAATAAGTATCAAATATATTGACATCCAGCAGTTAATATTCCATTTTAAGGTGCAATCAATAGCAAGAAATAGAAATAGTCAAGTAAAAATATGCAGGCTGCTTTTACTGGGGTTGGTTCAAGAACATGCATAGTATTAGTGAAAAATCTAAATAGATGATAATGACTAAATAATGAGCATTTTCTTACTGTCAAGTTTAGATAAAACCAAGCAAAAGCATCTACTCTGCGTCTAATTAGTTATAAAATTAAAACACATTGAACTTGTCACAGATAAGAGTACATCAAAACAAACCAAGACAAACAAAACAGTTTAAAAAAATGTGTTGTTGTTCTGGGTTTTTTTTACCCACTATATCCACCTTAAAGGCAACATGAAGGACCACAGTCTATGATTCATTCCATTTTAGCATGTTGAAAACCACAGAAACCAGATCAACCCCTGAATACAGAACGACCATTAGTATTGGATACATCCTGAGAAAGTATGGGCATTGCAGATCTGTTCTTCAACAAAGGTGGCTGCAAATTACAGCTCCAGACTGATACTGAAAATCTAATCTTCAAATTTTTTGTGTGTTTGGTAAAATGCATATTACAAGGTCAAGCTACAACCACTTTTAATGAGGCACTACAAAACCCAGAGAAGAGTAATTCAGAAGATAATCAGAAGAAAAACTAAGTCTGAATTGTTGTGAATGTGGAAGGTTGGTTATTACCTTATCCTTAAATAACCAGTGTTGTCTTGGTGACCAACATCATTCCTTCCAGCTAAATTACAGATACTTTATGCAACTGAGGAGTCAAGCCCTGTGTGACAAGGGATTTTTTTTATAAGGTATTTCCGTTTACCTTTTATGTTATTTCATTGTTCTGAAAGAAAATCCAAGTTTTTTGCCTCCCATAGCATAATTGTTTTAGTGAAATGGCCGCAAATGTGTTTTAAGGATGTAAACTGATAAAGACAAGTATTATAGTGTAAAACCATTTTCAATTTATTTTAGCCTTTTATAACAGAATAGAGAACACCATGATTATATGCACTTTTTGCCTTGAGATTTAAACAACTCTTACAATCAATAAGGATATTAATTTTCCCTTATATTTGCTTTGAAATTCTAAGACTAATAGAGCCTGAATGGGCCTTAATTCTAAAAAGAATTCCACTGACTAACACAGTTAGTTGTTACTCATTTTAAGAGTTGAAGGACTTGGTATAAACTCAAATAATATGTAATTGCTCCAATTTTCATTATAAAACTAGTAATGATCAATGCTTCATGCTTACAAAAGAGATAACACCTGAAATATTTTTATTCAGTAAAGCTATTACAATGTTTTTTTAAAACATGTTTCATCCTTAGGAAATATTGGTCAATCCACGTATTTAAACAGGCAGAAATTTGTCCCTGACAGAACAATTATTCTCCAAGGCTCCAACAGAACTGACCACAGTAAACTATTTTTCTGTATACTCTGATTTTCTTCCGGAGTTTGATAACCTGGCACGTAATGTAATTACACTTTATAAAAACCATTATGTAATTTTTGTCTGGGCAGAAAATGTCTCTTTCCTCTCACTTAGCACTTCTTGTGTGATGATGTGTCCTTGAGAACAACTTTAAGTTATACAAAAATAAGTGGAAGGTTGTAGAAACTTAAGAGTTGTTTAAATGGCAACAACAAAAAGCCTATAATTAGCATGCCTTCCTCAACTGTGAAATTTCTTCTAAAAGCCGATGAGAACATTATTATCCATTGGTTGATCTTAAAAAAATAATCCAATTTGGTGTTTTGTTTTTTTTTTGTTCTGTTGGCTCTAATATTTTTAAACATCAAAGCAGTGAAAAAATACAAAGAGCCAGATTATGTCATCCTTACTCACTCTGAGTCCCATCAGCTGCATGCAGTCCCAACAGAATTCAATTAAGCTACCTGTGAAGTGAGATGCTTCTCAGCATGGGAAAGCAGTGAAGCTCTACATGATGATAAAGCAAGGTCACTTTTGTTTCCACCTTCAGTCACTCTCCAGAGAAGCTATTCAAACATTTCTCCTTCCTAGCCTTGAATAAGTCTACAGGATAAGGTGCTCTTTTACTTTTGTTTTTTTTTTAAATGAAACAGAATAATATTGTTGCTTAGCAAAATTAAAAAATAATAACAAAACAGGCCTCATCTCTGCAAACTACAGATTTTTCTTCAAAAGAAAAAGAAAAAAAAAATTACCCTGCTTCTTGCTGATCCACCCCATAGTGTTCCAGCTCTGTGCCTGGAAGTGGCTGCACAGGAGGGGGTGGGAGGGGAACACTGGCCCAGTTTGAACCATTACTTTTCTGGGGCTTGGCAGTATTTTTGTTTTTCTTCTTTTTCCCTCCTTTGCCACCTGCAAATCCAAGAAGAAAAATAAAATGTTAGAGATGTAATGTGGAAAAAAAAGCTAGCTACATTTACATTTCTTTGAAAAAATTCTGATTCCAGATGGCATGCCCCGAAAAAGAAGACGTATTTATATCTCAGCAGAATCAGCATCAACGTGCTAATGTTGTCACAAGGTTATAAGTAATAATAGAATGGAATGGAAAAATATTCTGAATATTTGCTGAAAATCATTTCTTTTTAAAACTCTGTACATTTGCACCACAGTAGTGCACAAACAAGGAAAGATATGTCTTTCTGTATCAGAAATATATTTCCTGATATTATTCATCTGTTCTTTATGACTTCTTGAATTCACTCCTAGATAAAAATATAATAAAACATAGCAAATTATTTCAAATGTCAGAATCCAGTGTGACTATAACAGTTTTCCATAATCACTTTCTGTGGAAAACATAGAGGTTGAGGACACCATCTAAAAAAGCTGTTGTTAGATTCAATATCTTTCAGCCAAAATGACAAGACTAACTTGTCAAAACAAAAGAAACAGTGTTTTTTTAAAAGATCAGGAAGTCATGTACAATGTTTTAGAACTGTTTCACAGCATTCAAATATCTCGTGCCACTATGAAGAAGAGGTTCTCTTTCTGATATGTAACTCTAATGGATAAGGCTGGCAAAAACGAAGAAAGCAATGCATTTTGTTTAGGCCCTCTGCTCTTCTCTCATTGTCCTTATATCCGCTTCTCCAGCTGAGACACTTCCATTTGTGAGAAACCAATCTTACAGAGAAAGCTCTCATCCCACTTGCTTTGCTTCTTTTATTTTGCTGTGACTTCATTTTCTTGTTAGGAATTCATTAAGAGGAAGAATGGCACAACATTTTGAATCCCTTGACTGCTTGAAGACCCATCTATTTTTTGCTGTTTTGTTGCGGCTTTCAGACTCTTTGGACTGTGGTGTGGAGGAATGGTTTGTCACATGCCTTTTCAGCGGGGTACCCAGCTGGCCATCACTCATTCCTTTCCTGTTTGAGAGAGCGCAGTCTAATCCATCCCACTCACTGACATCTCTTGTTGATTTATAAGGATCAGTTATGAAAAAAAAAAGTGTAAAAATGAATCAATGACTCAAAAAAGTCACAACTGACTTGTCAAGTGTGCACTAGCAGGCACCACCTTCTTTGCCATGGCTCTAGATTTAAGCACAGAGGAATCCAGAAGGAGGTGTGATTCTAGCAACAGAGACAAGCACGTCATGGGATTTTTTGGGAGACAGTGGCTTTCTTCTGTTACCTCCAAATGTCAGCTGGATGAAAACAGGAAAGGATAGAGAGGGAAGAAAAAAGGTGATTCTGTGACTCAGAAGTAGCCGTCTCCTTTCACCTCCGGTTGTGCCTGCTAGAGACAGCAACAAGTTCAGCAAGGTTTCTAATTGGCCTGACTGCACATTGCAAACAAGACCTTCCTTTCCAGTACTCAATTCCAGATCAGAGCTCTTCCTTCTTTTTCTTGGAGGGACACATAGTAAATTCCAGCCAAGATCCTGTTATTCACTACGTGTAAACTGAGCTGATGTTCCCTCTATTAGGACGCGAGACTCCTTTTGCAGCGTGGTAGAGAGGGAAGTTTTCTTGAAAAGGGAAGGAACATTTCAAATGATGAAAAGAAACCCCAGTGATGGTGGAGATAAAGGAACAAATACATGAACCTTCTGGAGGGAAAATGAAGCTTTCAAAGCACAGGTAAGGCAAAAAGGGGATAAAGAAACAGGGGCATAGAACAGTGTAAAGGAAGTAGGTTAACTTAAATTCGTGGGATGCGGGGAAATTTTTGAAAAGTCAGCATAAGTAGAGCTAAGGCAGGAGGGGCTGCTTTAGGAGAAAAGCACATGCATAAGAGTGTGTGTGTTGCAGAAGGATTTAAACTAGGAATACCCAGAGAAGGGAAATGCAGAGAACAACTTCATCTTAGAGATTAATTGAGGCAGTGAGGAAGATTTTGGAAGTGTAGCATCTTGATAACTTTAGGAGACTAGTACAATAGAAGTTGGATGTGTGGGGTGCTAATATGGAGTCACTCGAAATCGGGGGGTTTCGGAGTGAAAGGTTAAAGATAATGGAGATATTAGAAAGACTGAAGCAGGGAGACAAGGAACTATTTAGATTAAGAAATCAAAGAGGAGAACTCCAAGGTCATTACTAGTAGGGAAAGCAGCCTACACTGTATAGTTGGGCAGGAGATTTCTCTTCTGTCCCCACAGGCAGAGTTACTCCACTGTCACACTAGTGGAACAGACACCTAATACATAGTGCTTGGTGTGTGTTTGAAAACTGATGCAGCAAAGCCTTGTTTCCCCATAGCAATGATGCTTGATGTTTCAATGTCTCCTCACACTGAAATTCAATTATATTGTTTAAATCTCTAGATGAATCAGGCCCCGGAAAAAGAATTTGCCAGTTGGGCTGATGATCATAGCTTTGATATAATATGGGAGCTGTGCAAAGTACAGCTACAAAATTTCCCTGCCTCATAAAGCAGTTGAGTTTTTAGCTATTTTTCATTCCACAGTGGGATAGGATTTCTCATGATATTCATTTAAGAGAGACAGAAACTAAGTCAGAATAATAAGTAGTACTTAAAGTACCAACCAAGGAAGTGAGAGAACAAGTCCCTGCCCACCCTGATGGGGACTACGTAACCAAAGCTGGTCTCTGACTCCGATGATGCTTTAATTATCAGACTATTTGAAGGTCTCTCCCAGTTCCTTGTGTATTACAGACATAATTATCCTGTATCAAAGGCATAATTACTGGGCAAGGGAGAGCAAAATACTGACTCTGCACTCCGACAATCTGACACTCTGAGCATTGGGGCACCCAGGTGTGAGCTGCCTTGACCAAAACAGGAATGCCCTGGCCATAGAAAGACTGAGCTGAAGTTTCCCCATGTCCTCAGAAGATTTATTTCAAACTGACAAACACTATGCAAAATATGTTTCACTTGAAATATTTGATCAAAATCCAGCTTTTGATTAACTGGTATTTTCCAAGGAAACTTCATATTTTCTGAGAAAATTCTTAGGCAGCCATAGCTGTCAACATATCTAAAGTGTGATATTGCCCTCTGATAACTGCCACATATGTACCTCAGCACATCTATTTCTGCATTTGCATGCAGCCTGGAGAGCAAGCTGATTTCCTAAGCTACTTGCCAATACATGTCACATACAAGGAACAAGAACTTTTCTTGCAGTATTGTATGAACCTCGTTCCCAGATCCCTCTCCGTCAATGCCATGAGCCTGTTTTTCAGTCTCACTCAAATCAGCTAATACTCCCCCTTGAGAACACAAGACTTGCAAACACATTTGGCTATTTGAGCTATGGGCCAATGATTATAGGCTTCTAATCTCAAGATTCAATTTGAATAGTAATTTAAATTGACATAAAGAAGTAATTTCTAGATTTCGTCTGTTACTGTTACAATTGTTCCAGCTTAAAGTGGAAATTCAAAAGGTTACAGATATAGAATGAATATCAAGGTTAAGTCCCTTCAGCTCTCTCATATTTCAGTTAAGGGAATTCAGAGGTTTTCTTTTTAATTGCTGCCTTTTCAGTTTTTGTTTTGAAATAAAAAAAAGACAGTTATACATAACATGAGCAACAAGTAAGCAAAATTAAAGAAATCAGGAAAAAGGTGTGTTTAAATATAATACACAACCACATGTACTACAGTCATTTTCATCTGATGAAAATGCATCATGTTTCCAATAGAACATGCAGCACACACATAAAATTTACATCCTGTTTGTATGCAGGCTTGGCACAATTTGTTGAAACCCCAGTCATCGTTCAGGGCCCTACAATTATTTCTGAGCTGCTTCACTGAAGAAAAGTATCTAGAAATAGCTCGTGGGAGTGGGGGATCTGTTAACCACTCAACAAAAATGTTACTCTCCTCATGACGTTCAGTGTGGGGAGGCCTATAAACTGAGGATGGATGCAGAAATACATTTGCTCCACAAACTGTGCTGTCAGGGAAGGGATGTGACAAGGCAAGGCTGGCAATTGCACCGACAAGCACCACCTGGGAGGAATCTCCAGTTATCTCCAAATAGGTTTTGCCAAAAAACTTTTTTTTTTTTAAAGTAGAGGCCCATGTGACAGTGTTCTCTGCTGTTCCAATGAAACTTCATATTTTCCAGTGTTTACTAGCGGGCAGGCACTCTCATGGGAATTCTCAACCTGTGCCTGGGAGGTCTTTCCGCCTCCGCGGCGAGCCGCTCGCCAACACCCCTCCGTCCCTCACTCCCCTGCCCACGGCGGAGGAACCAACCTGAGAGGCTGCCACTCCTTTCGGAGCTGTTGTGGGAGCTGGTGGTGCTGAAATCCTGTGACTGGTTGTGTGGCAATCTATTAGCCAGTCCCTCAGCCACCCGGTAGTCAGGGATGTAAAGCAAGGCTAAGGGTTAAACGGCAAAGGTCACAGTGGCATCGTGGGATTAGTCGACAGCACAAGCACATGCAACACATGCAGTTAGCAAGTCAACAGCAGATGCGGTGGGGTGGCAGTTTTAACTTAATTATTTTTAAAGGTACACCTAGCCTAGCCTAATGGAGGGCAGATGGCTTGGTGATTAGCACAGGACAAAGAGGAATAAAAGCACAGGACGACATGTTTTGTGATTGTATGACATTCAGCGCACATGCAAGGAATGTTAGCATTAGTTAAGGTAAATATGAACAGTATCTCACACAACTAAAAAGAATGTTCTAATTCAGGCACAGATGATACAGTACAAAGCCAAGGTCTCTGGAAAATAAGAGCTGTAATTACCATTGTTGCCTTTGCCTTGGTCTGGGAGAGAGTAACCAAATCCCATCAGGTCATTTTTTTGCTGAATTGAGCTTTTCCACTGAGGATCAGGTAAATCGACAGCCAGCTCATGGATGCTGTTGGAATGCAGTATCTGGGTGGTGGCATATGGCGTAGCTTGCGTTATTTGGCTGGAACTGTTGTAACTGGTTTTCGTGGTGAAGTCGATGCTGCTGTAAATGGCTCCATCAGAAAGCATAGTAGCAGTTTTATCTCCTTGCCCTGGCACTGGTGGCAGCACATCTGTGGTGAACACAGGGGAATGAAACAAATCATTGATGTACACGAAGCCTGAAAGTATCAAGGTTTAAGATGAGAAATAAATGTGTCATTTTGCACGTTTGCATTTCAGCCGAGACAGGTCCATGAGCCAACGAAGGGAAGATGATGTACAACCATCGCCAAGCTATCAGCATCTGTGACAGGCCTACCACTTGTCCTTCACGTCTCACTGCCTAAAACCATCTTTTTTTTTTTTTTCTCCATACCTTCAGCTTGAAAGTGAAGTTTGGAATATTTCTCTCCTAAAGAATGTTTTCAATTGTTCATTCTATGTCAGAACCAATGAAGCTGTCTGGGCTTCAGGGAAATGATGAAAGGAGAGAATTTACAAATCATAGAGGGAACTTTCCGAGAAAATATGTAGAAAAACTCTTGTATGGATGCCAAAGCCCTCAAAGTAATTTTTTAAGGGCATCACCTTGATTTCCTTGAAGTTTTGTGCATCAGCTTATCTAATTTTCTTTTTGACATTAGCTAGTACATTTCTCCTTTTCCACAAAGAAAAACATGACAAGACCAAGTTGTTCCTGGTATGTGAAAGAAAATCTGTTATTCTGAAGGGATTTAAGTGATCAGTCCCTCAAAATGGTAAAGCAGTGTTAATAACAGAGAACAACTTGTTCAAATACTCCAGAACATTTACCTGAAGAACAGTACAACACATTTAACTAAATATCTGTTGACTTTTCTACATCTTTTGAATCATAACACACAGTGTAGTTTATATATTTAATCAGATAGATTGGTAATCTCTCTCCTTACTAAACACTGAAGTGACCTTTGTTGGTGGAATACTAGATCTAGAAACTGAGATTACTGATGTGTGAAGAATCTAATGATGACTGGCATGATGTTCCAAGGAGAACCACAGCTCAGCAGATAATCCTTTTCCTTCTCTATCTCAGAGGTCAATATATCAAATGGTACTATTTTTACAATTTATTTAGACTCTGAAAAGTTGAATCAATTCTGGGATGTACTTGTTAAAAAAAATTTTAAAAGCATCATTTATATTCCATTTTCTTTCTACAGGCAGATGGCAGATACGGATTCCAACTGTTAGATCACACTTGAGATAATGCACACTCCTACAGTGAGGATGTTCACATCCCATTCTAGGGATCACAGCCAATTTGGATATACCTTGAGCCCCAAAAAGAAAAGATGATTCTTGCACCTAGACAAGGGCTTAGGTTCAGTTTCAGACTCAAATGGGGGTTTTGTGAAACCTCAAGGAATACAGCTGTTCTCTCACTATCTCAAAGACTTATCCAGCAATGAGCTGTGACACCATTGTCTCCTCCCATTGTTTTGGTTGGTTTGTTTGTGTTGGTGTGGTTTGGTTGTGTGTTTTTTTTTTCCCTGGGATGAACATTTAGATCACAGAACTATTTTCTGTTACATTCATGTGTGCAACAGTGAATATTTTAATATGGACCCTAATAACATCTGCAGTCTCAGGGCAGAAACGTAATACTAACAATAAATACAGCAATAACAAGTGCTCAGCAGAGACACTGCAGAAACAGAGATTAAATTTGGGTCTATCAGCATGATCTGGTTTTGCAGACAACAGGGAAATGGACACAATCAAGTATTAAAAGATCTTAATTGTATTAACTTATAACTGCAGATAAGTTGTAAGTGCAAAAAAATTACAATTAATGCAAACTACAGCTCATATTTCAAAATCAGGTTTATTACCATCTATTTGCTCACATGCAATGTGCTTTCTAGGGTCTGTACACAAACAGAAAGGCATCTATGTCCAAATACAGTATGAGATGTGAGAGACAAATGCAGTCCATCTTTCTTTCATCCACAGTAAGAAGATTTTTCCTTTCCACAATTGGTTTCGTCAAAGTATAATGGCTTGAAGTTTAGTAAATAAATTCTGTTGTTGATGTATAAAGTGAAGCAAATTCAGCTCAACCTGTCTGTGTTGGATTTGCAGACTTAGGGAAGTAAAAACCATCTAAATGTTCATCTCTCAAGTACTCAGACATACATCTGTCTTTAGAGCACATTTCTGGCAAGAATGAAGAGGTATCATCTCTATACAGTCACTTTAAAATGGAGAACGATACATTGCACACACTTGAAAGGAAAGTTGCATAGCTCTCCACCAGCCAAGAACTTTCAGTCTTTCTTACTAATAAGCTGAGGTTCTCCAGACATTCTGGGAATTTTCAGTACAACCATGGATTACTTTTTTGACCTCAGTGAGATGTATGCATTAAGTACTCAAAGAGCTATTAAATTGCCGTTTTACAAAGTGCCATAATCACCTAGTAAAAGTCAAGTGTGATTTTCCCACCAAGCTGTCATAGTAAAAAAACCCACAGTGTACATTTCAGACCAAAGTTGAACACGCATTTCCCACTGGATGCTTTCCCCAGAACTCTCCAAAATCCAACTTGTTTTGTAATTCTTGAGATAAATGAAATAGCGCCAAAGTACTTCCAGAGGGAAGCTCTTTCTTGCTGCCTCAGGAGATGCAGTACCATTTTACGTGACTCCAGCTCCAACCTGTGCTTCCCACTCACAGCCTTGCTCTCACATGCCTATCTGGGACATAACATGGATCTCACTTTTAAGGGCAATGTCAGAACTGCTTGCCTCAGCTTCTGACTTTCCAGTGATTGATTGGCACTTTACTGTTTTTAAAATGCTTACAGACCTTTTATATTATCATAGATCTTTTAACCAGTAAGAGTTCTCTCTGTAATGTTAATATTCTCTATATATATCTGTTGAAAGACATCTGACTTTTAGTCCATCTTTAATGCAGAAACATCCAATCTCAACTACTGAAACAGAAAGGGACAAGTGGTCCCAAATCAGCCAGAATAAAATTGTGAGCTCAACTGTAAAGATCGTGGGTGGAATTAAGCTGCTGAATTTCAAAATGTAACTGTTTTATCTCTTGCACAAATTTGGACCTATGCCTCATCCACACTGAGGCCAAAAACTTCAAAACATGCTTCCAATTTCTGTCATGTAGAGCCAAATGCTAAAAGAAAATGGTAATTTTTCTGTATTATGTGAGCTTAAGAAAAGATGGAAAAGTACTGAAGGGTTTTATTTTCAAGATATTCACAACAAAGAACCTGGCAGATATTCAGTTGCCTTCTAAATATTATCAAAAGTTTTGCTTACTTTTAAATAGTTTTGTATGACAAGAGCTTTACAGCATTTTTATATAGAATATAAATCTAGTGTGTTTTGTTGTAATTTGAAGTCACAGTAGTCAAACCACAGGCAAGAGACTTTGCATGGGAATGTATAACTGATATGAGGGATGATTTTCAGAAGCAGGTTCTGGTACAGTTCAAAACCGAATTCTTTTCACATTTATCACTTTGATGGTTTTATAGATTTTTTTTCATTTTAATGCATTTTTGATATATAAGGTTTTCTTGATTTTTGTTACCTATTCATGTCTTAAAAATATTTATATGCTCATTTACATTAAGAAGTCTTGTTCTGAACACCCCTATGCAGAACTAGCTGTGCTATCACAGAAACCAAGGGACTAACAGAGAGATGTGAATATTACTAAGACTTTTCAAATTCCCATTCTTGAAATTCCCATTTGAGTAAAATATTTGACAGAAAATAACCCCTCTAAAGATTCATCATCGTAATAATAAATCATTACCTCATCTCCCCAAAGGTCCTCCCTCAATTCAAAATGGAAGCAAACCCATGAAAAAATCTAAATAGGTCCCCTTTGTATATTCTTTTCTCCAAGTGAAAGAAAGTTGGTGACTTTCCTTAATTCTTGAAGAATCCATAATTCTTCATGGATTATGCTTGAAACTGAGAGTAGGCCCTCAGTAGGAAGAGGATGGGTAAGGTGACAGCAACAATGTTCTCCTGTTCTGCTGAAGGAACATCCTTCCTGCATCCCCCCAGTTTTCCTCTGCCCTTATGGACATCTTTTTTCCCTGGCTATATTCCTCTGCCCAGCAGATTGCTTATCTCTGCACAAAAGGGAATAAGGTTGAGCAACAGATACATTTCCCTTTAGATCATAAGCAGACCCTGTCTCACCACTGTGGGGTAAATTAAAAACTAGACCTACCTTTTAAATAAGTAAAAAGCAACAGAGTAAAACTAACATTTTAAAGTAAATTTTCAATCAAATCTAGAATCACACATAGAACTACAAGGATAAAAACATCACACAGTATTTATCATAAATGTTAACTAATGGGAGCCTATTGTATACTATATGGTGAAATAATAAAAGGAAACCTACCTCCACGACCAAAATTGCCAAGATCATTGGGTCCACTAGTGCTGTTGTTTACTGGCAGACTTGTGGCAGGCCAGGAGTCTGCAAGCCAAGGATAACTGGGGTCACTTGCATTCAAGAGACCTGGTCGACTGAAGCAGAATAAGAAAAAGAGATATACATACAAATATATACATGTATATTTAAAATTACAACATCTGTGAGACAACCAGTGATCAAACGAGCCGTATCACTGTTCTCCTAACACCACAGGTAACTAACAATTTAGAAGACTTTAATTTATTTCAATTTAAAATTGTGTAGCCTTGGATGATTTAAAGACCTTGAGCAGTTAATTAAGGTTATATACAAATCAACTTTGTCAGTAGAAGTGGGACTAGGCAGCCGTCGTGACTCTGCCAGAATCCAAATGAACTCCGTTGTCTGTGTGAAACAGGAGTTAGGCAGCACCATCACGGGATCCTACAACAGGGCTGCATGATAAATTACCACCTCAAGGGAGCCATCACTCAAACTGATTGCTCCATATCAGCCATTTCCAGGACTTTGGGCTACTATTTCTTCCTTCCCTTGCATCCCAAATGCATGCCTGTCATCTACAGGCTGGTAACTCTTTCTTTGAGCACTCTTGGATGGTTTAGAGGCAAACAGGTTTGAGTAGGATTAATGGAAAGTCCACAGCTATCTCTATCTGCCACTAAGGCATGGCTTTTATATCCCTCTAATTCCCAGCTTTGAGAGCAGTACCAAACAGCGAGCATGTGAAAGAGAAGGCACAGAAGGCACCTTATGGGCCATAAGGTGCCATATCTCTCTCACCCCAGGATAAACAGGGAAATTTAGCAAGGCAGGTGGATTGTTTGTATTTGTATCTAACAGGGAAAACAAATAATTTCCAGCAGACACCCCCCCTTTCCCCAAATGAAAACAAAAAGCCATCCGCAGCTCTGCAGCTTTTCTAGGTTATTAAAGCACTCATGAAGTTGGAGCAACATCTCCGATCATTGTACTTTATAGACCCCTGCCTGGCACAATCCCTAAGAGAAACATCAGTTTCCATGGAAACGACAATAAGAAGGCCCAGCCATGTTCTCACCACATCTACTTGCTCTCATTAGGCCTAATCTCTTTTTGCTAAAATATTGATTAAACAGGAGATTGGAAGTTATTACCAGGGCCTAATTACAATCTCCATATTGGCAAAGGGAAAATAGATGAGGATATATGGGCCTGTTATCAGCTTTTATCAATTTCAATTGAGTAGCCAAAGTTGTGGAATCCAGTCCTATCAATCTACAGCCTATTCATCATCCATGAATCATTTATTTCATGATCGATTAACTGTAATTGTTCACTCACAGCAATTTAGGGGGAGCCAATAAGGAGTCTTAAACAACAGCAACTTCATTTGCTAATGTCTAATTAATGCAATAAACATCCTGATAACAAATGAACACATTCTTTGTGATATTTACTACTCATTTCTTCCAGGGCATCTGGGAGATATGAAACATCTGGGCTTGATAACTACAAAGTGCACAACAGATAGGTCATTAAACCCTGTGGTAAGCTACTTAACTCCTCCTAGTGTTGTCAGTTTTCCCAATGATCTGTTATGACCCAAGTGCATGTTTCAGATCCCTAATTTTAAAAATAAATACAATGAAAAGACCTTTATACAAAGAAACATACCTTCCATTGCTCATTAGTCCTCCATCTCCTCTTTGGAAAGTGACTGTGTTTTGGTTGGGAGAAAACAAAACAAACAAACATACACACACACACAGGCACACACATATAAGACAGGGAAAAAATCAATTAGTAATAATTAAAAGTAACAATTCAAACTGCTCAGTGTCCAAGATAGGAGGCTTCTTGGCATCATCACTCAATAAAGTACAGAAATTATAAGAACAGGATCAAGCACATCAGGGTTACAGTTTGTTCAGGATTTCACTACACGTTACTGACTGACACCAACTTGTTCTGTAGCTTGGAAGGCAAACCAGCCATCTGGGCAAAAGGCCTGAATTTACCACAGGTCCCTTCATATGGTTTTGCCTTGCAAGACTGAGCCATGTGATGAAATTGTTTCTTGGCATGCTTTTGCTTCAGTACATAATGACATTGCACCAGTGAGTTAATAACATCATGTCATAATGCAGTAATATAATGTCACCAAACAAATATGCCATTTCCCAGGACAAACAGTCCTGGGAAAGAGGTGGCAGCTCTATTACAGATGAAGGGATGGAAAAAAATCATACAGCTGCACCATTTCCATCAGAAGAAGAGTTTAAGAACTAGCAGCCACACATAAATGCATACATGCCAGTGTCACCGGGAAGAAAAAGTGTTTCCAGTCTTCCATACACATTTTGTGTCTCCATTCATGGGTGTTTGACAAAAACCAGCCTCTTCCTTATCTATCTTATTAACAGGATTACATTTCAGGGCAATACAGGTAAACCCACATTACTGGTGAGGTGCTAATTGACAACATTTGATGCTCCTTTTTGAAGCACTGGCAAATATTTTGAGTCAAGGCCAACAGACTACTCTGGTCCTCAGTGGCAATATCCCATTATTTATTGTCAAGCATAGATAAGGCAGACTATTAAATTATATCAATGTCCTGGACACCTGCACCCTTACAGGCCTCTGACAAGATGAGGCTTTGAATTTCAAAGAGGAATGGAAAAGTCTGTGGCCAGATTATTTTAAATTTTTTTTAAAATAGGCCTTGGTTTGGAAATACTATTTACCTTTGTAAGACATACATTCCCATAGTTAAATTATAGCTCCGAGAATATTTGCAAGATTTTCCAAGTATTGGTCCAAACTACACTAATTCAGAATTAGGGTATTATACACTATTCTAATCAGACAAAATTACTACACCCAATAGGAATTCTGTGATCATTAAAAAAATTAGCAATGGCATAAATCCACTGGGAAAATACTTCTGATACCTTATAGAATCCTTGTCACTTTATTAACTCCTAGGACAATTTCACAGTCTACATTCAGCAAAGGGGACAAAACTGGCCCTCTGGAAGCTCTGCTGGAAGAGTGCTTGGGTAGGGTGATTAATTATCCTTCACTGCAGAGCAGACTAATATCAATATCAGAAAATCACTGCAGTCATATGTCACATCAAAATGGTTAACAGCTAAATTTTGAAAGGATGTAATCAAACCAATTAATGAAAAGAAAATCAAAATGCAAGTATGAAAAGTATTAAATAAAAGTGTGCTATCAAAAAACAAGACATGGTAATACACTGCAGGTAATTAATTTTAGAGCCAACGCTACTTTCTCTAACAGGCTGTCAAATGACTGTATCACTCATTGCTTAAAAGTAAATAATCTGAAGTGGTGTAACTATCATGAATATGCAAAAATGTGGGCACTGCCTGGCTGTTTCAAAGTATCTCAGTCAAAAGTACATTAGATATTGCTTCCTTTCTCCTCCTCCCCTTCAAATTTTGTATTTGATTTCTTCAACTTTCTGCATTTCGCAAAGTGACAAGAAATGAGAATGAGAAACAAAGGCTAATTCGGTAACAACCCATAATAATAAAGTTTACAGATTTAAGGGAATTCCAGTAAAACATATTTTCTAAAAAATGCTTGGGATTAATGCTCTTTTTCAGACTATCATCCACCAGAAATAATTTTGAAGTTATTTTGTCACCAATCGTGTAGCACATACAGGTGTGTGAGATTTTAACTTTGCATATCATACGGAAAAAAAAAATCCCAACAGTATTTGTGGTCTTCAAAATATTTATATCCCTTGTGTACCTTTATAGAGCAGAGCTAAAATGGAGGAGCTAGTAGGAGATTGCAGCAATGTTTGCCTGACACATTTTATTTTCTGGGTAGTCAGGGATGGGAAAACTCCAAGGCAAGCTGTGAGAAACATATTGGGAAGACATGGCACCAAAACCTCACTGCTAGAGCCACAGTTGCTGCAGGTTGGCTGTGGCATATGAGATTGTTGAGAAGAGACAAGTATCACAGCATTTGCTCCTTTTTCTTCTACCTGTGTATCCTTGTGGTAGGAATTACTTCTTGTTTTGTTTTGGGGTTTTTTTGCCTACATTAATCTCACACCCTCCCAATAAAAGCACTGTTTTTAGAATAAAGGTTCAGCTTAGTTTATTAAAAAAAAAAGAACCTATCTTGCAGTGACACTGTTTTTCCTGGGGAAGACTGTGCTTATGTGATGTGTATGGAACTGGGAGGGAATACAAGTTCTTTCCTTTACCCTCCACCCTGTACACCAATGTGTGCAGTGAGAAAACAAACAAGGAAATATTATAGTTATTTACTATGCTTGGTGGAAAAGGTTCTGGAATATTAATTAAATGTGCCAAAATTCCTCTTGAAGCGTGGACATGTCACCAGGATGCTACAGAAAAAAACCCAACAAAACCTATTCCTGATGCCATCCATGAATGGGCTACCTAAGGCTGGATAGAGAAGGTGCCTTTCTTTTAGCATCAGTGTTGTGAAAGGAAAGACAGCTAACAACAGAAGATACGGTCAGGCTGCCAACACAAGCACTATGTTTATCATCCCTGCCATACATTTTGTCAGCATTTTTGCCTGCAGTTTGATTTCTGCAATTACAAAACAAGTCTAAACGCCTGAATAGAAGCAGACTTAATGCAATGCAGGCTTGTAGATGTCACTGTGAAAATAAAACACACAGACAGCTGGCTTTATTTATCCTGCCTCCACTTCAAAAAGCAGCAGAGCAATTTCAAGGGGCAATGCAAGAGGAGGAAGGGAAGGATGTCCCTATCACTGACCCACCCATCTCCCTTGCTTTTTATCACCAAGGAAGCAAAACAGCTCTTTGCATCTGATATATGTTCTTAGAAAGGCTGAAGACCTGCAGGGATGAGATTGGTTTTCAGAAGAAGATGAAAAAATAACCCCTGCATAGAGAGATTTTGAAGGAATCCCCACCAGCTTATACTTCAAGGACTGTAAAAATGCAGAAATATAATCCAAAGTGCATTTTAAATGCATAAATATTTCGGGAAATTATATTGTATATATTTGTATGAAAACCAGCATATGTTAAGGAGCTTTTCAGACGCTTTTTATTAAATATATAAGGAGGTACCAAAACCATTTACTAATATTATCTGACAAGGTTAAACTTAATCTTTATGCCTGCTAGAACTGGAAAAATATGAATGTATAGTAAGTCGACATTCTGAGGCAAGAAAGCTTTAGAAAGCTTTAGAAAGCTTTCTGTATGCCTATCTCTAGTAGGCCACATTTTCCTACTGCAAATGAAAACTTTAATGTTGCCAGCCAAGTCTCATTCCTTTTTCTGATAAGCTATTTCTCAAATATGAATGTAGATTAATCCTCTTTTAATAAGCATTAACTCAGAACAGATAATCAGCACATAAAAATTCCATCAAATCTTCTGTCTACCTTTGGATGATTCTGTCATACAGTTTATCCACATTTAACAGTTTCAGGAGTTGCACATAAAATGCATAGCATTTCATGATTCTTTATCTATTTTTAATTTGGTTTTTGTTTATTCAGTTCTGTGAAATCTTTAATCCCAAGGAGCACTAGTCACTAAATAAGCTTATCTACTCATAAGTGAAAATACATATTTACTTTTTTTTGCATGGCTGATGGCCTAGACACTTGAAAACACCTGAGTATTCAAGTGAGGGGGTATTGGCACAAGTTTGAGGGCACAGGAAAGATAAAGAGATAAATAAACAAATTCTGTTTTGTCACTCTAATACAGCATTGAAATAATTCATCTGTTATACAAGAAGTGTTCAGATATCTCTTTTGTGCCATCTATCTTTGTATCTTGTGCAATCCCATCATGCATGTTTATATCCAGGCAATTGTCCAAGTAAAGTCTAACCAGAAAAATACCATAAAAACCCCAGTACCTTAGTTTTCACAGAAACTCACAAAAGTATCTATCTTTTCATTACAGAAGTGATGGTTGAAAAGTAGTAACAGTTGTATTTACTGTTTCTGTGCCAGATTTGGGGTTGTTGATAGTATGTCATGGCCACAACAATGTATAGTTCTGGTACAGCTGCAGATGATGACACTGCTCCTTATCAATAGTAGTCTAACAAACATATTAGCTAATCATATGTCTTGCAGTATTGATACTACTGAGAATCAATACCTGATGAGCCATGATGGGGGAAAGGGATGTGATGTACAGAATTGTGGCTCAGTAACCACTGGAGTCAGTTCAACTGAAAGTAACCAAAAAGATTTAGCTGCGATTTTCAATGTCACTTTACTTGTGACCATCTGAGCAATCTCTCAGTGCTTATGAATACGTTCACAAAGACAGAAAGCTTAATGAATTTAACTCAAACAGTTATTCTTCTCTGACACAAATCGTTACCAATTGCCTGACATTTGCTGTTTGCTCTTCTCCTACATGGAGTGTTACAGTAGTTTAGTCTCACTGCAGAAATTATACATCTTAGGCTCCTAATAACAGAATACAAATAACAAATGATCCCAGCGGATGACCCATAATCTGAAAATTACCTGAAAGAATATTTTTAGCAAGTAATTATAAAACTGCAGGATCTAGACTTTTGAACAACTATTTTTGGTGTCCTAAGTTCTACACACAGGCAAATACAGATGAAGAAAAACCAAAAAGTATTCACATCAGAAAAAATGGAGGTTTTGTTTTGTGTGTGAATTAAGTAAGTATATGGATGTTCCATTAAAAGATTCAATTCTCTTTATCATACAATCAAATGTGCATGTTCTGGAACTCTCTGAAGGATTTAAAGCAGATGTCTGAACAAAAGTTGTGCACCTTCTAAAATCTGAGTATATTAGGATAAATTCATCTTTAGTAAAACTTCATTGACAGCTGTCTCTGATGGGATTCTGAAAGCTACATACCTCTCTCTAAATAATTATATCTAAAACCAAACCATTTATGAATCATAACTTTGAAGGGAACAACACACAGTTGTGAGTGACTAACTCCCAGAAGCACAGATACGTTTGTCTAAATTGTATATTACCAATAGCAAATTCAAATACTAGAGAATTAACAAAGTTTCTTATGGAACTCTAGATATAAAGATAAAAAATATGGACTGTGTTCTGTCTGAAGGAAGACTTTTTTTTAAATTAATGATTGTTTTTTTGGACTTGACTACTGGATGACTTAGTTCTCAGTGCCTCCAGAAATGATGATAGGCCAGGAAACAAAACTATGGGCTGTTTTAGTTCTAGGAAGTCCACAAGATGTCAGAACTACCTTTAAAAAAGCACATTTTTGGCAGTGCCTCTGACATATCCTAGTTATCCAGCACATGTGGATCAAGAGCATTAAATCATGCACAGTCACTGTGGCTCCAGCACAACGCACATGCCAATGTATGCTACAAACACCATGGAAAGTTGTGCTTAAAGACAGCTGACAGTGGCATAGTTATAGGAACCAAACACAAAGATGAGTTATTTAATTTTGGAAAAAAACCCTACGTTGTCTCTCAAAGAAAAGCCAGTAAAGCATTTAGGTTAGGAAGTGTTGTGCCACTACTTGCACTAACTTGGCCATACCTGCCTGGGAGCTAGAGGAGCAATCCTGAGCCCCCAGGGTTTTTCCACAAGGACACTTCTCTCTCACAATGTCACAGGCCCTTGGGGCAGACTCCATCACCTTCGCTCCTCTGTCCTGACAGTCATTTGCCCTTTCCTGCTAAGGTAAACACACAAGCTGTGGCTGAAGGCAAGCAAGAGTGAGAAAGCAGCTACCTGAGCATGAGGACTGGTTCAGCGGTGCAGTGGGAAGACTGGACTCTATCACATGGATGGCAGAGAGGACAGAAGAGGAGACAGCTTTGGTAAATGAAACTGAGGGGCCAAACTACACACAGAATACTTTACAGACCTCTGCTGGAAAATGATCAGATTTATCAGTCTTTTATACTGTAACACTGAGGTACCATTATTTTTAAGTTTTTAAATGCTGCGATTAGGTATGACAGCAGAAGCTATTTATTTGTATCCATTATTACTATTAATTCTATACTCTATTTTTCCTGGCTATCCATATGTTGAACAAGCTGTTTGCAACCTGCAGTTTCAGCCACACTTCGTTTATCCTTCACATATCTTTAATCGTGTTTATGATAATGGTCTACCGTATGCTATCTTTTTTAAGATACAAAAAATAGGATACCAGCTTTGAACTGGGTAGTCAGAAAAAAACAAAATACTTCAATTCCAAAATCCCTGTAAAGGAAATGAGTGCATCAGTTAATCACTAGGTTGGCCTGAAGATCTGAACACCTCACAGTAAAGCAAACATATGCATAGCTAAGAGCTAAAGTGGAAGAAAGTTCCATTACTCCACTGCAAAAATGTTCAAGATACTTTAGCTTTAAAATCAAAATTCAGTTATATATGACTAATGCTTGTTTATGGTAAGCTAGTTCAAGCATCTTGACCTGCAAATTACTTTCAAAGCTGCATTATCTCAAGGAATTAGATGAGTAAGTATGCAGAATTACAATGATAGAGACACTAATGGTGGCAGATTTTATTATGTTCCCCTTGGATCACTAGGGAAATAAATACTACATTTTTATCACAGATAGGCAGTCAAAGTATTTCTCCTTGTATTTGGTTTTGATTCTGCATATCTCACATGTTCATAAACACTTAGATAGCTAATGTTTGCAGTGATGTGTTGGTGAAGTAAGAGACAGACTAATGGACAGTACCTGCAGGGGTGAAGGTGAAGGACTGAACTGCAAAACAAGAAAGCAAACACATTGTGAGTTACACACCCTGAGAAAAAGCGCTAATTGCAGGGCACGAGTTTCCTCTGGAGTTTACTCAAGTTGGAGTTGAATATCATGAGCAGGACATTGCAGCTGAGCTTAAAGCACTAACCAGCCAGCAGCCAATGAGAGACGATGGTCGGAAAGATGAGCAGTGAATTTCAACATTCACATTTGAAGACTTTCTGTGTGGACATGCTGTTCTCCGAATTGAAAACATTAGGATGAATTTTGAAGCATGTTCTGTTATCTACATTCCTTGCTGAAAGCATACACAATTTCATGATGCAATGGTCACATCACACTTAGATGCAGCAAACATCATGAGAAGGAATGAGTTGTAGGAGACACAGTTTATTATGACTATTATAATTACTTACAGCTATGCATTTAAATGTATAAAAGACTTTGCTCTCAATTCTCCCCTGCTCCCCCCCAGTATGTCAACTCACATACAGGGCTAATAATTCTCCTTTTTAAGAAAAGACTAATTTTAGCTTGTGTCCAAAACTCTATGTAGGACTCTTTCCTAAGAGGAATAACAGCCCAGCTGTCCTTTAGTATGAAAACTCTTGGGATCTAGAATGATATTTCATAGAAACACATCTATAGGTGTGTGTGAGAGATACTAGTTTCTCAGTTAACAACACCCTACCTCTCAGAGAGTAAAAGTCACTGCTGTTAAAGGAAAGAAAAAAAAAAAACAAAACAAATCGAAAATGCACAACCCATGAACGTCAGAGGTCACATGGTGACACAAGATGAGGTTCCCCAGAAACCAAGAAGGTCCAAAAGCCACTGTTCTCCTTCCTCCTGTCCTCCACTGCTCATCTCACGTTTTCTTGACCTGCCCTGTTTCACTAAGCAGGAAGGATTGAAAAACAGCATGAGATAGTTTCCTTCTGGTTTAGTGAGCCCAGTCAGGACACTGAGGAGTCTCATGATGGCTAATGCTAAGCTGAGAAGGACATTTTGGCTATGAATGAATGTGGGTTTTTGGCAAGGAGTTAGAGATGCTCAGCCACTTAGGGAACCTGTGTCCTCAAGTTCATATGCGATAACTTGTCATAGAAGAGCGCTTGTGTAACTTCAGTGTGATAAAATGTCAACATTAAATATGCTGTGTCCTCAACTGGGTAAATCTTTCTCAAAAAGAAAATGTTTTCTCTTTTTAAATGTTAATAAGCACTTCTAGAGAACCTGTCCCAATACCTGAAGAACAGGGGGGGGTTGTGTGTTAAATTAGGCTTCAGAGTGACCTTCAGATTTATGGGCGTTCACTTGACTTCCTAAAAATTCATAAGAATCCTGAAAAGCTGAATACACAAAACAAGGAGGTTGGAGAAAGATGAAAATATTTTCATTTGGTAAGTGTATTTATTTTTCCAAACATAGTTTTCAAAAACTAATTTGTAACTGGAACAAACATTTGGTACAAGAGGACATTCCAACATGTTCTACCTCAAAGACAAAACTTTTTATGGTTTCTGCCGTAAGTAAATTTTGACCACGCTTCTCTGTCTAACACATCACTCTTCTCTTCCAACTATAGCTATGAAGTCACTGATTAAGCACCTCCATTTATTTCCCATGCACATGGCTTCAGAGACATGGAAATGCATGGGAATTAAGGAGAAGACCAAATACTCTCTAACCTTCCTTATGAGGGTCTAGTCTAGTTTGTATTTGAACATATGAGTAGATCTGCACTGTTAACAGAGTGCCTTCTGAGCAAGGAACAAGAGGTATAGTTAATCCTCCTTGTGCCTTTTTTTTTTTTTCTTTAATGCTAGATGTGCTGGAGATGTAAAAATACTGTCTTATGATAATGATGAAATGTGGTACCGAGCAGTGCATTTAAAGCTTCTCATACAACAGCAGTTTCACAGCATACATTAAAAACAAGCATACAAAGTTCACCCAGGACACTTTTGCTGGAAGTTCAACGTGTTTTTTAAGTAGGTTTAACAGTCCCTGTTCTCTTCACGACCAAACCTGATGAGATGGTAATAAAGTTCCTGTTCTTACCAGCATAATTGCTGAGCCCCTTCCTCTTCTTTCTTCGCCAGTAGAGCCAGATGCTGAAACCCATCAGAATCACCCAACATGCCCCACCGATGCCAGCTATAAAGGCAGGCTGTTTGACAACATCAGTGATTTGCTCAGTTATGCTGTTGTTATTTTCGGTGATGACAACTTCATTACGGCCTCCTGCACGAAAGAAATTCACAGGAATGTGGTTATTATGGATTCTGTAACAAAAACAGGAAGCAAGGACTGCAAATGAAAATTAGGGGGGAAAAAAAAAGTAATGGACCTCAAAAGAATTATCCACAGTAGAAGAACTTTAAGGAGTAGTAATGCACACCAGAAACCCAGTGTTTCTAGAGAGTAAATCCATAGCCATTTTGCAAACATATATTTGAAAAGATAGATCTACAGTGCACTCTCAAGTAATCTAACAGATGTAAATCCAGAGCTTTTTTTTATATATACAATATAGATACTTGTTGGTTTGTTTTCACATAATTACAGACAGGATGCAATAATGAGAAAATGGATTCTAGGAAACTAATAAAAAATAAATCAAGCAGTCAATAAATAGCTTTTTCCAAATGAGAAATCCAAATACAAAATATGCTACAACATCAGAAGACAGTTTCTTCTCTCATTGCCATCAGCATGCCAAAAATTCTTACTTAACTCATTTATTTTCCCTGAATGCTAGAGTTTCCGAATTTGAAATCAAATATAAAGTGTATTTTCCAGAAATTATTTCATGGAGAAAACAATCCATACAAATTCTAAGCCCACCAGCTTTGACACAAAGCAGAAAAACACACAGTTAACTGCAAACTCTAAGCAATCACAGCAACAGATGCTATTTTTTCTCACGTGCAATATGCATGACAAATTCTTAACATTAACCTGTAAGAAATAATTATTACGTGGAACCCCAATTAAAGTGACATGCATCAAAAATTACTATATAGGATCTTAAATTCTACATTACATTAGAAAACTGTAAATTCCAGTAGATGCTTCCTTCCCCCCCCCGTTTCTCTAAAAGGGAACTTTTTCAAAAGAAAAAGCTTGATGTCTGGCTGGAAAACAAATGATCATAAAAATCTGAATGGAAATTCAGGAAATGCTAAAGTATATAGTTCTAGGACCAGCACTTCTCTACTTCAAATCTCCCCTTGTCAAAAATAGTTAGTTTTAAAATTAGGAAATGCAGAACATATTTTTCTGCAAAACTCCCCCCACCATGAATATTGATTCTATATACATTTGATATAAACTGCCCACATCTGCAGTTTTGAAATTTGTGAAATATTATCCATCTTTTCCAGTAAAAGCATTTATATAGCTCAACGCTTGAAATGTTTATGTAATATCACCAGATGCCTCTATGCACGCTGAGGAGCTACAAGAGTAGCTATTCTACTGAAACAAAAAAGATAGAAGCACTATGATTCTCAATTTTGAAAGTCTATCACACACATATAAAGATAGTTGAATAAAACACTGAAATGGTCATTCAGAGGAAATTATTAGAAGTATTGTATCATTATGCCTTGCTGTGAAAACAGGACGTATTTCTCTTCTATAATTCAGCACTGGTTAGATTTACCACTCACTTCTTTCAACAGACCAGCTTGCTGGCTTCAGCCTAAAGCCACCAAACAGGGTCACTGGCTAAAACAGATGTGAGAATTCTGACACTTCCAGTTTTGTTCCACAGACACCTCTCTGCAGGTGACCCAGAGCCAAGTTGCCAATGGAGATCCCTCACGGAGAGCCTGTCGGGCTGAGCATGCCCTCCCTGCCCCACTCCCTCGGGGACTAGCTCTGCCCAGCACTGCCCCAGCCAAGATGCAGCTTCAGGCCCTCGATGGTGTTCAGAGCTGGGCTGAGTTACTCGGGAAGGACCGCGATGCGCTGCATCACATTGCTATCACACTGCTGATGATCTCGGGGGTTTTATTAAGCTTTCTCTCTTTCAGCACCACGTCAATATTTAGTACTGATGACCGTCTGCTTCTGCAAACAGACTGTTAAAACTGTGCTAGAGCTTGGCTTGCTTTCAGTCGTTCTGGGCAAGAAACAAAACGGGCTTCCCGCAAGCAAAATAGGTCCCGTGGAAGGATGCTGACAGACTAGGCCTGTCTGGATAAAAAGGCAGTACACCAGTACTGGTGTCATGTATCAGTCTACACTGGCCATGCTGGTGAGCTCTACTAATACTAGGGCCTGGGAGCTGCAGCTGTCCTTTCCCATGCTCCCCTCTCTTGTCTTGCCTCTGCCAAAGGCCCAGTGGTTTCCAGTTCTGATGCAGTAAGGGAGAATGGAACTGAGTGAGCACTTGTGACAAAGAAAAGAAGGGAGACAGCGGTGGCTCCTTTTATCTGATTTCCCCCTGTTTTTAATGCCCATGGAACCAGCTTTAGGTGCACCCCAGTGCTGAAAGACGAAGGGCTGTGAGTAAAACTAATAGAAAGAGGCACTCTATGGCATGTTCTTCTAGGACCACAATTGATTTTCTAGTAGAAATCAGCAAGGGAATACGTGTTGCTTTAATTGCCATTAACTTGGAGTTAATTTCTGTGCCCTTTGGAGGAGAGGCCAAAGCAGTGGGATGGTGGGGAAACACGTAATTTTGGCACTGCTTCAGAGGCAGCTGTGCTGCCATGGAGAAGAGCAGGCAGGGATGTGCTTCGAGAGACTGACTTTGGGAGATGATGCTCCTGGACTCAAGAAAAGTACAAGCTCTGTCCAGAAAAGCCTCAAAACATCTGAGGATCCCATCTTCTTCTGTAAAGTCAGAAACCAGTCTTTCTAAAATGGAGAATGTGAGACTAAATCACAGAGAGCCTGTGGAGAGCTTTCAGTGGGCTTTACTCTCTCCCTCTCTTCTAGGGGAAGATGCAATCTGTCTCCAAATTACCTTCTCAAGTTTGCAGTCTGGCTGCTTGCTCTTACCCTTCTGTGCCTAGCAATTACAACTGCAAAAGTAATAATTCATTTAAATGTCAAAATAACATATGCTTTGTGAATTTGATGATGGAAAAATAAATGGATACAGATGAATGTTACCCGCTGATGTTTGATGAAATTAATATAAGTGTTGGGGGTTGGGGAAACAAAAGGCATTAGTTTTATACTTCTTTATATAATATTTAAGTAGAAGTAATAAATATGTCATCCAAGGTACCAGTGTAGTACTATTTCATATACTGCAGGTGTTTCTGTAACAATGCTGTCAGTTCAACTAATTAGAACATAGACAAGGGAAGTGTGCAACCTGTAACGCTCCATTGTTCCTGAAGACAAAAACATAATGAAATATAATGTCTTCCTCCCATTGGAGAGTAATGAAGAACAAAACTAATTTGTTGGACCAAAAATTAATTAGACACATCAGATTCGATTGTACCTATTACTGTGAAAGTTTGCAGCTGTTCCTCATATTATTATGCCAATGATGGAATGTAAGAGTGAACAGGCCAACTGATGAGGAGAAATAATAGCTATGGCATTAACCAACATTGCTGTTATCTCCATTTTTGTTTCTGTTTCTCCAGCAGAAAAATTTTTAGCATATCATTAATGATCATAAAAATTTTATTCTTGATTCTCTTTTAGTGTTCCATAAAATTTTTCAACATCCTGCTTGAAGTATGGGCACAGTATTCCTGTGAGACAATTTCTAACTAAAGAAATAATATACCTCCTACTGCTCCATATTCTCCAGGTTTTATTTTCTGGATTGTCACAGGTCTGTTATCTAGAACTGCTCTGGGAAGCCAGTAATTGATTATCCACCATGAAAAAGTTATTTTAAGAAAAGACCTTCTTAGAAGAATAAATCCTGTATTTAAGAATAATATTTTCCTTTTTTATACACTGGACTCTGTATTTCATGACAATGAATGTTGCAATGCTTAGAAACATTCTTCTGCATCACTGACCTACTCTGTCCATAATTCAGCATTTCTGGAGTTGCCCATTCTGTTTGCAAGCTGTTCAATAGTATAGCTAATCACCAGGCCATATAGGACTCCATTATAATACAATCATTCATTAATGTTTTCACATTCATTAGGATGTTTTGAGGTTTATTCATTAGCTCATTTTTAATCCATCCAATTAGTTTTTTTCATTTACTTAAATAAAAATAAAAAAATCCTGTTTTATGTTTTTGATTGCCAGTCAAACACTGAATGGTACCAACTCAAGTTTTCCAGAAATGGTATCACTTAAACACTGCTGCCTTTATCAAGCAAATTTATGGTCTGAGAAATAGCTCTCAGCAATTAATAATAAAAAAGGGGGTCTAAAGAAAAGGGAGACAGACCATATATGTAGTAACCACATCCAGCTTTGGGCCACCAAAAGGGAAAACAGAAATGAGGACAGAAATATAACCCAAACAGAAAGTACTCTCCTTTACTTTTAATGCAAAAGACTCTTAAATGTGCAAAGATGCCACCAGACAGACTTGTTGAAGCAGATATTCTGGGATCATTTTAGGAACAAATAAATATCACTAAGATAAATGAGATAAAATTAAGTCTCTAAATGCCAACCAATTTTTGTCTTTTCTTACTTTATTTACATCCTTAACATCCCTTTCCCTCTTCTGGCAGCAATACAGACCTCTCCACATTTAACTCTTCATTATACCAGTCATTTTTTTTGTAAGGAAAAATTCAGGATGAAGGGCTGTACCCAGATGTGAGGCTGAACATTCTGGGAATCATCCAATGAAGACCTTTGGTGCAAGTTTACCTCATATTAAATGACACAAGGCTACTCATGTACTTAAAATGCAACACACTTATGTGCTTTGCTGGAATAAGTGTAGTGCCTAGTTAGATTATTTCCTTAGTGAAATAGTAAAAGGAGGTCCTGCTCAAAGTGGATGCAGTGACAGACTAGTCTTACAATATCAATTATTGACACAGAGGTCCAATATCCAATCCTATTAGGTGATTTCTTACTTTCAGTTCTAGAAATCTTTTTTCCCTCTTTTCTTTGGCGTATCTTTGGCTGCCTTTTTCTAAAACCAGTGCTACCTCCACCTCTACTCTTGTATTTCTGTCTCCAGTGACAATATATTCAAAGTTGAAGTAATCTAGTTTCTGTTTTGATGAGTGGGGAACCCGAATATCATTAAACATTTAAGCAATGCTTAGGGGATGGCCTTTTCTAAAGGTCTACACATAACAGAATAGTCCATCTTTGGGACGGTGTGTTGACAACATTTTCTAGAAAGAAAATATTTAATAACAACAGAAGTCCCACAAACAAACAAAAGTATATTCAAGTAATAACTAAATTATGTCATACAGATAAAAGCAACAGAATTCCTGTATTATGTACTCAAAGGAGGTACTGCTTTGCATAGCTCAGTTCAGGTTTGCTAATTACGATTACTTCTCCTATTCTTCCATATTGTTCCTGCCTTTATGTTCTATATTTAGGAAAAATTTCAGAAGAAACAGAATCTGTGTTTCCCTCAGGTCAGGAAATCAATTCTGCATGGAAATCACTACTAAGAAATGACCATTTCAAAGGCAGGGATTATAATGCTACCTTTGCTCTCTATTTTGTCTAAAGGTCACTTACTCTTTGTCAGAGGACACTTGTCTGCTTGGGATACCTGAGAAACACTGACTTCAAATGTTCAGAAAACAACCATAAACAGTGCCTTAGGCACCAAAGGGATGAATAAGGCAATATTACAGTCATCTTAGCAGAGGGAAAAGGGAGCTCAGGCTGTTAGTTCCATAAATCCGTCAAGTTACAGAAGTGGTAAATTCATTAAAAGACCCACATTAAGCCAGTTCCACTAGACAATCTGCATTTTCTTTTATGTCTTGGGAACATACTTCCCTCCATTGGTTACAAGAACTCTGCATGAAGGGAAGGCACAACATCAGCAGGCAGTGGGACATTAAAAGCTAACTAACCAGCTCTATTCAAATCTTATCTTTTGCTCCGTGGATTTTTACGCTTCCAGAAGTGATTTATGAAAGCATTTCTGAAAGAAAAAAAAAACAACAAAACAGGTAAAACAAAACAACAGAACAGACAATCACTTACCAATTATTATGGGCTGTGGCTCACTTTTTACTCCCACACCTGCACTGGTGCTTGCAGCGACTTCCACGCGGTACTGAATACCTGGATATAGGCCACCTATTACTACAGACCGAATGGCTGCATCTACTGTTTTGTTGATATGAAATCGAGTCTCATTACCTAGGCACCAGATCTGGGACAAAAGTCGATGTGTTAAAATAGATGAAATTCTTCACACTCACACAATCGTGCATAGATATGACATATCAAAGCATTTCATGACAATCACTTATTTCAGGCTTCTTAAAAGTGGTACTGTCTGGGAATAGCTGAAATTAGAATGATTTAGCTCAGCAAACTGTGCCAGATTAGCACAGGACCAAGCCAGCTGCAAAAACTGCATGCAAATAACTCTCTGGACTCTGGCTCTCCATGGAATGCAAATTCTGTGGTTACACTTCTTAGAAGCCCAGACCAGATCATCCAAGTGAAAAAGATGTTATACGTTAACTAAAATCTTGTTCAGTAACATGATTACCACCAAACCTGTCCTTTAAAAAACCCACATTTTTTCCTTTCGGATTTTCCACTGAATAGCAAAAAGACAGCAAATAACATGAGAACAGGTTGAAACACTTCTTAAAGAACTAAAGAACAAACAATTTTCAAAATTCTTTCCAACTTCCTTTGGAATTTATGAAATGGAATAAGTACAGACTCACTTTTTACTGCTGCCTTTGTGATTACTTACATTGTTTAGGAATCCAGATATCAGTTCCTGATTCAATTACTATCTAATTAAACAGGAAAACCACCCTATAATCTCAACTGGCATTTTGTGATGAGAACTCTCTATGATTTCAAAGTGCTACATCTGTCTCTGCTATTTTTTCATAGGCTTCTCCAAAGAGGTTTCAAAACCAAGACCTTCTAGGGATACTTCTTCAGTTAATGTTATCTGCATATACTGCTTCTGTATTATTTAAAAATGCATTTACTACCTCTCAAGAAAATCAATGCACAAATACATCACATGTACACTCACATAACAATAATAGCAGAAGAAAGCACTACTGCTGGAACCACTGTCAGCAATCAACTGATGCATCTAAGCAACAGCAATGCTATCTTTACCCTTATTTTTGACCCTGCTTAGTGTTTTATCACATCTTCTCTTTTTTTTTTTTTCTTTTTTTTTTCCTGTGAAACACTGAGAAAGATTTGAAGGGAAAAAAACTCCTCTGTTTTCCTAAGCTCAATGAGATCAGATTCCCAGGTCAGAATGAATTAGGGTGAGAAACTGCTGCATTCATTCCTTTTCTCCTTATCTGTCCTGGTCTTAGTTTACAGCAGCTATGAGATGCCACTAATTAAAGGCATTTAATTCATAAATGAATTTACAGGTGCTCCTATGCTTGAAGTAGAATCAACAGATCTACTTTCAATTTGTCAGAAACTGTACTGTGAAACCTCATCAGACATTTTTTACTCAGGGAAGTATTAAACTGCAGCACAGTCCCAGCAACCAGCTCACTAATCAGGCAGCCACCTAATCTAACACAGAAGGGATGTAATAGGTAGTGACTCCAGCTGTTTTTATACACAGCCCAGAGGTCTGAGCACTCACCTGGAACATGGCTTTTATTAACCATCAGCCCTCTTTGTTTCATATCTACATATTTTGTGGTTTAGGAATGTACTTTACTTATTTGCTTGTAAGCCCTTGACGATTTATATTGACTTACATTGGAGTCAGGACCAAGATTAATTAAGCCAAGAGATAATTATTAATTGATATGAAAATTAGATCAATAAAATACTGGGATTAATAAATCTTGATATTGACTGAAAGCAAAACAAAGGAAGTCCTGTGCTAAACATAAATATTGTGAGTATTTACTGCATCTCTCTGACCAGGCAAAAAGGTGGAAGAAGTTGAACCAATTAGTTGATTTAAAAGTCAAGCATCTTCTCCCTTCTTCACGCTGTGTTCCCTCAAGTTACCCCATGGCCAAAAAAATTACACCTTTTCGTGTGAAATAAGCTGCACCCACCATTTCCACCCTTTGTGGAAAGCAGCAAGAAAGCTGCCCTGGACTTTTTCAATTAAAAATTTCACACTTGCTGTATAGGTCAGCCACAGCAAGGCTGATTTACCAAGCAGTGTGCTCCATGGTCACAAGCCTGCCATAATGCTGAACCTTGCCCAGTCATCTTCTCCATAGTCCTCCAACCCAATAACACTGCATTTCTTTCATGTTGTCAAAATATACTTGTGCCAAAGTGATCTCAGTATGGAATTATAGACTACAACAAAATTTAAAGATAATATAAAAGGAGTGGATACTTTGAGCTATCACAGAAACAAAGAAAAAGAATATACAACCCAATGGAAACAACTCTCATGTAACAAACTCTGGATAGAGTAGTTCTGTTCAACCTGTTCCTCAGAGCAAACAAGCCAGCATTTTAAGTTGTGAAGCTTGACAGAAATAGTACTTAGAAGAAGCCTTGTATTCTCCCAGAGCCACAGTCCTTGACTTTGCCCTTGAAGTGTTAGGAGTAGCATTTTTGCAGGGGAAAGAAAAGGTATCTTTCCTGCTAGCTTTTCTGCCAGATTAAAGGCATTCTAAGACAAGGACTTCACTGCCTGTCTTTAGAGTACAGAAGCCCTTAACAAAAAACTCCTCTTCTTTCCTTCTACAGCAGGGAAAAGTAAGAAAGAGAAGTACTGTAAACTAGCTGGAAATTACATCTCTCTTCCATGGTATTTTTTATTTTTAATATAACAGTAGTACTGCTTTAAAAAAAAAAAATCCATAAGCAGTCAGTCCTCTTTCTCCATATAATTACAAGGGTAGCTGTAAAAGCTGTCAGAATCTAAATCCATAAACGTGGCTACTGTTCAAGCAGGCTCTTTCCTTAAACACACAGCCCTTCCATTAGACATCATTTCTACCTTATACTCCTGGATGACTCCATTTTGGTGATCTGGAGGGGGAGGATCCCAGGAGATGCTGATGCTCGTGCTGTTGTGGTTTCCAACTGTCAGGACAGTAACAGACTGAGGAGGGGCACTTGGAGCTACACCAAGGAGAGAGAACAAACAGAAGCAAGACATTAATCCATTTGTTAGAGCACGAAGTCTGCTGAAACCCTGCAAGAGCAAGCAGGCAGTATAGAAAGTTCACACTCCCTGCAGGCCTAGGTATGCACATTTTGTTAGGCACTGTCAATTTTGAAAAATGCCTTTCTGGAGAGAAGCATAGAGCTGAATGACAATGTGGAATTTGTGGCAATGGAGAATCAATACAAATCACTCCTCATTTATTTATATTTAGCATTTCTTAATTTTGCATTGGAACTGGTCTCACTCTTGCCTTTGTTTCCCATAATAAACATGGATAGCTACATATATATCAACTAAGTCACGTGTGAAGCTGTTTCATCTGGCCTGAAAAGTGTTTTGGTTCTTCTTTCTCCACATAATAATAATAATAATAGGATGCTTTTCTGTTTCCTAATCATTCTTCGGGAAGACATTAACAGGTTTAAACATAAAACCTTGCATCTCTGAAGTGGAAAAGGGTTAAAGTGTTCATGGCTTTACATCAAATGTCAGTGAATAGGGCAGGTGCTAAGTTAGGTCAGATATATACTTATGTCCTTTTTTTCCCCTAAGCAAATTGCTTTCTCTTCAGAGGCCTGTTCAGTTCAACCATTCACAGCTGTTTGGCTGGTCACTGCATATCAAGGTCAATTCTACAAGACAATTGCTTGCCAGCCCTCCTAGTTGTCTAGAAGTGTGAAAAAAAAAATCATAGTTGTTAGTGATCAAGGCTATGCTGGCAAAGCCCCTGTTGCAGCTACACCAGCAGCAGGGTGGTTTTGTTGGCTAAGGACATGTGGATTGGGAAGTGAAGGAGAAGCTCAGCTATGGAAAAGTCCCTTCTGTGAGCATCTGCTGCATCTCCACGTGGAGTTCTCCCACCATAGCTACAGCTGCCAGGGCAGAGGGCTGGGAATATGGCCCTCCCCAGCCACTTAAAACCTCTTGCAGCCCCCCCTTGCCCTTCCCTTTCTTCCAAGTAAGTGTTGAAACACCACCACAGTGGCAAGATAAGTCACTGAGGTCGAGTGTATTGTATTAAGGTATGGTCCTTGGGGGGGAAAAAGTTATTGATAGCAACTGCTCTGAAATGGACCAAAAATCCAGCTATTCCATTTATCCCAGTCCATCTACCTAGTCTTCAACAAAACCAACAGAAAGAGGCTAGGAAAGAGTGAACTAATAAAGTGAGTATATATTGATACCTCTCCAGGACAATTTTCCAATTCACAGAAGACTGTCGCTTAGACACCTTCAGTTCCAGGGTGATGTCTTTGTGTTCAATAACTATTCATGGAATTTGTCTTCCATGTATTTGTCATTGCCTTTAATATTATCTTAAAACATTTAATATGAAATATGGATGCCGATTTTGAAGACTTATAGTAGACCTTGTACCAGAACCTAAAATATTTATCAGTCCCCCACCCCAGCTTCAAATCTAGATAGCCCTCTGGTTTTGGGCATCTCACATCCTGTGTTACAGCTCCCTGACTCCATTGCCCTGGTCTAGAGTGACTGAGCTCTATGGTAACAGGGTTCTACTCTTATCTTTAACAGATATCCTGAGTGCATGACCATGCTTGGACCACGCTTCTCAGAAAAGCCAAGACCTCTGGCATCTCTGTATTAAAGCCTGGCAGGTTTAACACAACCAAGCACAGCCACAGATATCAGAGGTATTCAAGTCTACTGAGCCAATTCAGATTTTCTTATTGTTCCCCATGACCTCTTTGAGACTGGCTGTGTTCCCACTTTGGAAGCTTCTCAGTACTTGACCTGGCACAGGCTCGGGGAGCTGAGCTCAATCTTAACCCTGATAACCCTGAAGAGTTGGAGTACTCTGTTGCAGGAAGGACATAACTTCAAACCAGGGTATCAGAGGTGGGGACAAGGGACCATACAAGATTATATCAGAAAAAGAAAATATTTTAGACAAAACATGAAACCCATACTACAGTCCCTGGAGGCTGCACATTTCGACAGCTACATTTTCAGAATCTGGTTCAGCTGCAAAGCTTGCAGAGCTTGGTATAGTCCTTGTGACCTTGCCTGATGCAGAGAAACAGTGCACTGGAGGGGAGAAATGGAGCTGTATTGTGGACAATTTGACTCTTAGCCAGCTCAAGCGAAGCACGGAAAGGTGGCCTTGGGCTACTCCTTGCAACTGTGCAAAGCATAAAATTGGGGAAGTTAATAGTTGCATTGTGTGTTTTATGGCAAGGGAAATAATTTGCCACACAGTAAAACAATTAGCATTTTACAAGTCTTCAAGATATTCAACAACAAAACCGTGAATAAATGTATATGTGTGTGATATTAATTAGCATATTTTAAATGAAAATAAAAATCATAAAAATGGTAAAGTTTAACACTGTATAACTCATTTTTGTTTTTAAGTACAATGGAACTTAAGTACAGTGCTCAAATGTATGCACTTTCATTACTCAAACAAAAAGGGCATTCAGAAATATAATTTCTTATATAGACATACCTGGGAGAATGGGGAGTGTGAATGCAAAGAAATGTAAAATGAATACCATACCCTTAAATTTAAAGAAAAACATACTGTATTCATTTATTTGTCTTTGCATTTAAATGCTATGAGTATTGTAGTTAATATTCTACCAGTACATGGTGGGGGTTTTTTGGAGGATATATGATAACTTGCAAGCAAAACTAAAACTGCAGCTGATGAATACAGCTGAAAGTATCATTTTAAGAGCCGGACTAAGGTGAGGAGGAACTGACAGACAGCAGCTGATAAAAGCTAAGGAGACTTCCATTACCAACTGTCCTATTTTTATGATGACAAACAAAAGACTACTCCAAAAAGTTATTCCAAGAGAGATTTAAAACAGTGGATGCAATTGAAAAAAAAAGTCATCTGTCTCTAGAGCAAGTATGAAGGAAATAGTGAAAGTGATACAATAAAATATTTGATTTAGCCCCTCTTTGTATGTGTGTACACATGTATGTATATAATAGTTCTGCTTCCTCTCTCTGATAATATCACTCTGTAAGCTGGCACCATGATATAAATTAAGCCTCTCGTCTGACACTGCTGCAGTTATTAAATAGATCACATTGAAAAATAACATTTTTAAAACCATTTTCTCATTTCCCTTGCTGCTGGTTTGTGGAGAACACCTTGCCTGCTTCTTGACAGGTCAATTATTCCAGTGCTCAGCTTCTTCTTACAGATATGAAAGAACCCAAATCGCTGCTCATCTTTTCCAGACGCAGGCAAACAGAATTCCATTTGTTACCTTCACAAGGCCAAAGAGGCAGGAGATGGATGGATACTGAACTGTGACAAATGCCTGATCTAGAGGAAAAGTCTAACTGCAGCAAAATTGATTTTTGGGGGGTAGGCCTCAGACGTAACATCGCATGTAAAATTCAATCCAGCAGAAAGCTGCCACTACCTTCTGGTCGTACTTCGCCTTTATCAGGGCTATTTGTTTTGATGTCACAAAAAACTTCCAACACGCGTATCACTCTTCCAAATTATTTTCTAAAAATAGCATAGCTGACATTTTTTAAAAGTCAAGCCTAAAAAAGCTCATTTTCGAAATGGAATCACAGGCGACACAGCAAGTGGGATACCTCTAAATAGACTGCCATCTTTCTTCAGTGGATGAGAAGCAAACCACTTTCATTAAACATTTAGTCGGTGCTATTTTTGAAATACACGAACACCCATATAATTACAAGGATAACATGAGGAATTAAAGGAAATATCTGTAGAACTGCATCTACCCAATGCCTTAATTTTCTCATGGAAGTACTTAATTTTATCACCCAGAGAAGAGGAAAAATTTTTTACAGGGGCTGACATTTGTCAGGTGATAATACTACATGTTCTAGGCTGACTTTTTTTGAGAAGAGATAGTTGTAAACAGACTCCTTGAAGGTTATATTAATCTACAAAGCAGATCCTTGGCTGTGAGTTATACATATCTGTGGGCATGAAATTTTTTTAAATCCTCACTATGTGGAAAGCTATTCCACATCAACAAAGTGTCCTTTAAGGTAAGAAATTACCTGACAGGCTCTGCTGGTAGCTGAGGTTTATAAAAGAGAATGTCATTCCTCAAGTATTTTATAGAAATAGACAGGAGGTATAAAATCTTCTCTTTTTTTTCAGTAGTTCCTAATTTACCTTTAGCAAGAGACAGTTAGATGAAGCTAAATAAACATCAAAAATCAATTGAAATTGGACAAGAAGAAAATCTGCTAGTGAGAGGACAAAATCCTACATTTTAACTCTAGGAAAGCAGTTTCACCTGTAGAAAGCTTTTTACAATTTTCTTTCTTTTTTTTTTTTTAAAAAAAAAAGCTTTGTTCAGACTGCTGCAAAGATATTCTTTACCAACTGATTTAGGCTTTACTGTTTGAACAAAGAACTGGGAGCCACAAAGTCTCCAATTCCAAATGAGACTTGAGTAATGCCTTCCTACATACTCTTCTACGTGTTGCAGAGCAGTGAATTTCTTCGTCCATAATGTGCAAACTCCAACCAAGTCATCTTCAGGATTACTTACATGTTGGGCAATAATCATAACAAATCAAAGAGAAAAGTGAGTAATAAGCAAGTCTGTTCTAGAATTAAAAAGTACTTGGCAATCAACACTAAATTAAACCTCAGGAGACCACTGTAAATGATTAAGATGCGCCTTCAATAGGAAGGAAAGAGTGCACTTAGAACCCTTTGAAACCATATGAACATTTTGAAGCTTCACCAATATTTCTCTTGTTTTGAAAAAAAATATAGAAAAAAATCAGTGAAACAGAGAAAATAATTCTCATTGTTATGACCATCTTGCATTTACAGGAGAGATTCTCCAGGCAAAGGCTGCATTAGATAAGTAGAAAGACAGGTTTCTAAGAGAAAATTACTAAAATTACTTATATCTCACCTCACTCCCTCTACTTTTCAAATCAAAACCAGAAGCCTTGGAGTTCATAGACTTTAGCAAAACTATACACAGGCTGTATGCTACAGATACAAAAGCCTGAACAACTCAGTAGTGTAAACTGTTTACTATGTCTGAATTCTGCCTGTTTCAGAGAGGCTTGAAAGGTGCTTAAGGAAATCCTCCAAAGGGCTGAACAGTGCAGTTTCATGAACAGTGTGAAGTGGCATCCCCTTGAGACTGGAGTTCCTTCAGACCAGTTAAACATGTGTCCTTCTCTACTCCCCATTTCCCAACCAACTGTTCATCTGCACTATTATCCACTGAGAAAGATGTGTTTAATATCAAACGCTCATCTGCAAAAGCTTTCATTTGTTTTTTTTCAAAGTGCAGACCAAACCCTCTTATTGCAGCAGCAGTGGTTATAAAAGAATGGCTGCAGCACACACTTTTTGGAAGACCCAAAGCCATCGCTGCATTAGAAGGATGTATCAACTAAAACAATAAAAGACTGACCCGGTGCTTTCTTGTGGAACACTTAAAGCACAAAACTAAACATTATGTCAAATTCTTACCTCGCCTGTGTATCTAAAAAACAAAAATCACATGGAGGAAATAGAGTTGAACAAATGCATACACACCATAACCAAATGGTCACTGTTCCTTTCACCCCCCAGTGCCAGGTATGGAAGCCTGTTGCTTTTCTGGCCGTTTTACCAACCTTCCTCTGTGGTACGAGCAGATTTGGATTCACTGTCCATTCCTTGGAATTCATTGAAATAAGGGCGAACCTTTATTTCATAAGTGACCCCCTTCTTCAAGCTGACGAGGACAGCACTGCGCTCAGTGGGGACTTTGACCTCCAAATTCTGCCACACAGCTGGAGAAGGCAGGCCAGACGTTTGGCGGTACATCACCCTGTAGCCCTGAATAAACTGGGACTGGCGGTCAACCTGGAGATGACATTAAATAATATAGCAATAAACATATTAGAGTTGAAAAAGAAACAACCTGCATAAAAAGAAAACAAAACGTTTGCCTAGGATACTTTTGCCCTCATCGAAAAGAGAAAATTAACATTTGGCGCTGAATTTAATAATCAAACTGCTTTCTTGTAAGTCACTCTTGACTAATTGTCTGCAAAGTACATTTGTCTCACATTACTTATTACAGAACATTTCTTTCTGCTTTGCTTTCTCCAGCTCTGTATATCATGGCAAATACCACCTAAAATCATAAAACAAGGCCCCACCCCTGCAACAAATCATGAAAAGGAAACTTTGGCATAAGGTTTGCTGCATGTAAACTTACTGAGCATGTCTTGGCTACTGATGTGCTGAAATATGAGAAGAAAAGAAAAACAAATTCTTCTCAGAAAAGGACAAGTCTTTGAAGATACGCTGCATGCTTACAGTTAGTCCACTACTTGGCTCACAGCTCATGGGATGCACAGGAAAATAAAATAAACATAAGACAGATGCAGAGAAAACAAATTCCAAAGACATGTCCTGTTTCTTGCATTCACAGTCTGAGCAGTCTCTTTGCATCCTGAGGTTGTGATGCTTTCAGGCCATCAGATGGAGATGGAATGTTGGTTTTGGTTTATATTTTATTTGTTGCTAGGCAAGCAGAATTCAAGATTGGACCCTGCACAGAAGTTTAACAATTTTAATCTATCATAAATATAAATAGGATTTTTATTTGAAGAAAAATTTTACATGTGTTTTATCTTGGAGAGGTTGCATGCATTTTTTATGCATGCAACAAAGAAACAAAGAAAGCAAACCCTGGTGATTTTAGCTATTATGATGCTTGGATTAATTCTGCCTGTAAAAAACAGTCAAAACAATTTGATGTATAAAACTAAACCAAATCCAGCTGCTTCTGTAGCCATCAAATAAAGAGCAAAGAAAGAGCACCACAAACAACAAGACTATACAGCTGGGTGTTTGGTAAACCTCTGGGTTATAACTAAGATTCAACAAGTAGGATATCTCTTGTGTTCCTGTCCATTTGCTAGCTCAAAGATATTCCAAAATTAGAGATACATTTGTTTGACTTCTCTTAAGAATAAATGAATTTAAGGCTGAAAACACAAACCACAGTCTATTATGCTTCTCCTGTAATCTTGTTACAGTTTATTGAGGCATTCAGAGGGGACACAGACTCTTAGACATTAAAAAGCAGGGCAAGCAAGAAGAAAGCTTTATTTATGAAAGCAAGGCAGAAATGTCTTTCATCAAAACTGTCACTGTTAAAAACCTTGCAACATATGTTACAACAACATTAAGCTTGCATTTTATAAACTTCTCTATGTTCACTTTAAGTGAATTTATGCACTGAAAGAGGGATATAACTCACAATAATAGCTTGTTAATACCGAAAGAATCAAGCTGTGTTTTTAAGAAGAACATTAAGCAGCTGTTTCCAGATGAAGGGAGTCTGTAAATCAGAGTAAATTGTTTTTATCCATGTTTGACTTTGATTAACTAAATGTTTTACGGACATAAAGACTTCTATGAACCCCGCGTTTACTACAAAATTCAGCAAAAATAACACTTTCGTGCACTTTGCAATACAGATCCTTAACCTAAATTACAATATAGCATTATGATGTTTAATAATCAAACATCAAGTTTGATTCCTGCCTAACTTCTGAGTTAGAAGCTACACTGAAAAATGGCATAACTTTCTTAGAACATTCCACTTTTTCTTTGCTGTGTGTTCCAGCTCTGCTGACTGCTGCCTAGTGGAGAACAACTGGAAATTCAGAATTGACGAGGCTGAACACTGTGTGTTGCTACAAAACGGAACGGAAAGTGTTTTGTAAAGCACAAACGCAAGTGCACCCACCAACTCACTGAGAAGAACTGGACCCCTATAGTTACACTATATGCCTATAGTGTAACAATTTTGATTGCATTACACTTCTGTATCTATTTGTGTATAGGTAATATACAAATTACCCATACACGTATTTTCCTCCTAGACTTTTAAGTTCCTAACCTGAAAGACTAAACAATACAAGGGTTATGAAAATAGGCACAACAAGGTTGACATGTTTATGGGTGCTACAAACTAGCTTGATTTGGGGCTCACAAAATTTTCACAGAGCTTTCAATTAGAAGTTAAATTACAACTGGGTTGAATGATCTGCCCGAGTTTCAGATTATTGACAGTGAGTTCACTCCACTGTTTATGCTTAGGGAGGGCACTGACATAAGAAAATACTATGCATTTTTAATGTATTCTATAAACATCCAGTTGCATTCAAAATCAAGGAGAGGATACTAAGCTCTATCTCAGGCCCATGAATAGGGCCTCCTGCAAGGTCAAAATATTGGGAAACTGCTCTGAGGGCACTTAGTTCACTTATTTGGAAAGGTGGATTTTTTTTTTGTTTGGTTTGGAGTTGTCAAAATAGTGAAAAATCGCTCTTGAATAATTACATGGACTGACCAGAGACATTTGTGAGGTGTATGACAGGTATATTTCACATATACATACACTCATACTTTTGTACAAGTATACATATATATACATATATGCATATATATGTATATATATGTATATGTTATGTTTATATGCATATATATATGTTTATATACTTGCACACACAAAGCCTATGACTTACAGTTTGCTGCATTTTTGTGGTAATTATGTGTCACGCCTACAGCAGGTCACTAAAAAGAAATCCTTATATGCTTAGCAATTAAGAAATTAATTCAACTATGCTGAGCATTAAATATCTCTGTAAGTTTGGTACATGTTCACACGCAGGCAGAGTTGCAGAAACATGCGTTGTGACTTGATGAAAGAATCTAATACTTTCTAGCTATTCTCATTTCTCTCTCTCTCTCTCTCTTTTTTTTTGGTAAGTGGTTGCCACTTGTACAAAGTGCTCAGCATTACTTCAGTGTTTGCAGGAACCCTCTGCATTGAAATACTGGGATCCGATAACATTTCTAGAATTCCCGTGACACTTAAATACTCTTGAATTTGTAAAAGCAGCAGTGATATCAACTCAAAAGATCTGCAAGAGTTGCTGATCTAAAGACACACTTTCTCCCTCAAAGGACAGGAGGCAGAAAATGCAGATGCTCCTTAAAAGGTAGAAGAAAGAAGTTTATGGGTAGTTGCTACTCAGCACTGACTTAATGCTTTAAGGCGACCTACAACTATAATTGATCCTCTGTGCTCTTTCTCACCCCCTTTTATGATGAGTACATAGTGCAGGAGGTATCTACAAAGCCATTTCTGCAGAACAGGAAACTCGTTTTCCCTGCATGTTCAAATCTGCACATGCCCCAGCAGAACACAAGACAGGTTCAATGGCTATTAGGTTGTTAAAAAGATGGCAAGAAACTCATAATGCAGATTATGCTACAAACATAAGCTCCTCCCAGGCAAACATGTTAATCTGTACCCTAAAGATGTTTTGTAATATGCTCTGTAGCACGCAAATTTCTGCCCCAAAATACCCTAAGAAATACTCTGCTCCCACAGCAATACCCACAGCAATTCTCCATCTGGGCAGAAAAAGCTTTCATGCTGTGCTGAACTCACTACCATGGACTCACAGTACTCTCTGGAAATTCAAACTGCACTAGTATTTATCTCTCCTACAGGAACAAGTCACAAAGAGATGATACACTGGAAGACAGTCTAATGGACTTGACTCTTGAATCTTCCAGTGAAGTACATTCATTTAAGATCTACATCAAATTAAAAGACAGATGAAAATAAATTATCCTTCTGCCTGGTAGCCTCCGAGAAGGCAGTCAGGATTTCAAAGCAACAATTCTTTTGTCATACTGAAGAACTTATTTTTGTTCCTGCTTGTGCCACAGGGCTTCTTTCTAATGCAGAAAACATTTCATATCTGGTCACTAATGAAACTTTCAGTTTAATGCCCACCGAGGTTACAAGTGCTGAACCATAGCTGAGGTCAGCTAAAGAAGTGCTTGGAGTACACCATATGCTCTTGCAATGCAAAATGTTTTGATAAAAGTAAAAATAATTCATGTCCGGGGCTTGCAATCAGCCATTTGATAACAGTGGGCATATCTGACTCCACAAGTCTCTTCAGCAACAACTACCTCTGCACCTCACCTCTCTATGTGTAAAGTTAGGATAATGACACATTTGTACCATTGTGATGTTAAATTCAGCGCTATTTGTGAAGCACCCAAATGTTACGGTTGAGAGCATGACAGATAAGCAAGCATGTGAGACAAACTAATAATTTTTTATTCAATGAAAGGTTTCAATAGTATGAATTTAATAAGGTCTGGCACCACACAGTGAATAAAGAAGATAAAAAGAAATGTTGAATACCTCCATGAAGAAGAAGATCCTGTATGTGACCAAATAATTACAGCTATATTTTAATATCTATGCACAAGAGGAATAAATTTAAGTGACAGTGAAAACCTGACTTCTGACATTCCTCTTCCTTTTTTTTTTCTTTAACACTCACTTTGTAAGCCTGACCTTCCTTCAAAACAGATAAAATATGTGTGTATATACCTGTGCATATTTTAAAATTGCAACAGAGTAGCAGGAAACTATTTCAGAAATTCTAAACTCAAATTTGAAAACAGAGAAAGCAAAACCAAAACCATCCCACAAAGGAGGAAGAAAGTGGTGTTAATTTGCTGTGTCAGGATGCCAGAAATTCACTAATCCAGGACATTCCTTGGCATTCATTCTCTGAATTGCAGAAAGTCAACACAAAGAGTCTTATGACTCTCATGGCACTTCTGTTCCTTTGTATGATAGCTACTCTATCTAACCATTTTATATTAATAGTGTGGTCTTTATTCTCTGGACAGAGTGGGATTTTTTCCTAGAGACTATGGTTAATTAATTGGTTTTGTTCTGGTTGCTGGGTAGTTTCTAATTAGCTGCTTCAGAGATCTTTCTTTGTGTGTGTCTTCCCATGGGCAATTCCAAAATGTCTCTACAGAGGCCTGTGAGCTTGTCGGGTGGCATTGGGTCACTGCTTTGAGGATCTTCCCAATAAGCTGATATCCAGAGCATTCCCAACAATTTACCTTTACCTTACCATGTTTTCTTCACTCATTACTTGTTCAGCAGGGGCACCAAGAGACTCTTTTAGAGGAATATATATAGATATATGTATATATGTATCTCCCCATATACACGCACACATAAATACATATACATCTATATTTCTTTATAATATAATGACATTGGTTACATGGTACAAAACTGAATTCTATTTATACTGAAGGTTCCTTTTGTAACATATGCTAGAGCAAGGGTCAGCCTATGAAATTGTATTTCTGATAGCTGTCACATCCAAGAAAGGGTTTGAAGGAGCACCACATGGATGTAACTGGCTGCTAACATCCAGAGCTTCTAAACTACTGATCCATCTGTTTGGGCGAAAGGGTTTGCTACAAAGGTTAGTCAGCCTGTCCTGGAGGTATGTAGCTGAAACAGAGAGCATTTTTAGAAAGGCAAGCTGCAAATTGACATCATCGAAGGAAAATTGCAGTGACACATACTCTAAATAATCTTCTAAGAAAGATACATTTGTGGGTTTCTCTATTTATTCTAATCTGTACCCTGACCACTGAAATCTGTGAGAACAAGGATGGTGCATAAGCCCCCATAAATATGGCTGAGTTGTGCAAAAACAACAGTAATCCTTATAATACACCATCTATCACCACGCTTCTTATCTCCTGTTGTGTAATCCTCTGTGCACATTAACCTCTTAGCAACATGACATGCAGAAGAAAACCCCTGAGTATTGTGAATACCCCCTTAGCAGAGTTCATCCTCTAAAAAACAACAGTTTCAGTGATGTGCAGAGCAGTACTATTTCTCTCATTCTTCCACCCGTGGCTCTCCATCCTCTGGGGCAGATGCCCCAAGAGCAAAGCACTCTTTCTGGTGTGCAGTGCCCTGGGAACTCTCTCCTTCTACTGTTACAAATCCTTTCCTTCAAGCCTCAGGAAGGGAAACATAGCATTTTGAAAGCCAAAACACTATATCAGAAATTCTACCCAGTAGTTTGACCCCTCAAATAGAAACGTTGTTAAGTATTGCCAAAAAGTCTTCTATAATGAAAGGATGTTCAGATTGTGGGTAAAGATTATGCTAGAAAACCAGATGCTACACAGTGGATCAGGCATGTGCTTCTGACTTCACTAAAAGTGCCCTATAGGAAAGCTATTTTTTTCATTTTTGGGTCACTAAATAATAGGGTATTGTCAGAGGTCCATATGCCTTGAAGTGCAAAGTGTTTTTTCATACAGCAATTTCGCGTTGATATTTAACTTTGATTATTTTTTGACATGCGGAGTAATGAATTCACAGATCAATTATCCTCTAGATTATGGTGTTAAGCATATTCATTTTTATCATATTTTTCTAGCCAGACAGACAACTCACATTGAGCAGAAGACTGAAGACATTGAACCTGTCTGTCTTGAAAGAGAAAATAAAAAGACTATTTAATTAACTTATATATATATATGGGGGTGGGTGTGTGTGTGTGTATGTATATACACACCTGTGGAATGTTACTTTGTCAGAGCACTCACACTGGGGTGAAGAATGGAGCTTTGGGTGGTAAAAACTGAAGGGATAAGTAGGCAAAATAGGCAAACTGCAAATACTGTTAAGGTAATAACAGAGGTCTCACCGTCCAGGTGACTTGAACTGTCGTGGGTGTCAGCACAACAGGATTGTGCAGCCGTACAATGACGTCTCCCAGTTCTTTCTGGACTTGCCTGTGATCCACACCTTGTGCTGGTGGGCTGATATCTGCCAGGCACACACGTGAAAGCATTATTTTAATGAGAAGAGCTATATATGGCATCAATAAAAAGTACTGATTTAAACATCCTTCATAGTTCTGTTTTTTAAAACAATACAGCACTGAGGTTTAAATACGAACTCCAAAGAATATCAAGTAATGCAAGCAAACCACTCACCTTTAGCCACTTAGGAAATAATGAAATATAAATATCTTTAAATGAGTATTGAGACTAGATGGCAAAGTTTTCTCTGCTCTAGTAAGTGATGAGAGAAATGCAATGTTCACCAGTTCCAAAACACTCAGATAATAATAATGCTGCCTAGATGCCTGGAACCAAATTGGTTAGTATAATTCAAGAAAATGAACAGGTTTCATTTTGGGGGGTTTTTTTTGTAAATTTTCTTAGACCATACATGACATGTTTCTAATCTGTCACTAAGCTTGCCCTCCCCATACACCATGCACACAAGAAACCAAATACTAAAAATAACATTTTCCTCTGCAAAGCAAATTTTCCCTTTACAGACACAGATAATGAAATCTAGCACAAATATGAAAAAAGACAAAAGAATTAATTTAGGAAGCCAAACTGATTTTGATCTAATAAAAGGCCAAAAAAACCAATCTACCAAAAAAAATTTTCTTTTCAAGATTATGTGCCCTTCAAAGTGTGTGGGGAAATTGTTTCTTCCAGTCAAAATCTGAAGCTATTTGGTAGCTCAATATACACATATGGAGATTTGTGATTCCAACTCCAGCATCGCATGTGGTCCCAGTACCTAGTCCTTAGGGATCACATTTGGGTTGTTGTGTTAAAATGAATGAAGGTTTATATCACCTCTGCTAAACTGCAAACAGAACGTATGTGTCAGAAAATGGGGAAGGAGGTGGGCAATGTGTCTTTTTTAGACTTCACCAAAAGGAGAATGCTGGGCTACAGCTATCACCCAACTAATATATCACTGTAGCATCTCCCTTCCCTCCAACTTAGACAGAAATTCAAAAGGGCTTGACAAATTATGGTCATGCCTGTCTAGACATCTGTGAATTCTGCTTGGTTTTGCCTTGGGATTCACTAGTCAAAGACAGTTGCCCACTTTCTGGATCAACATCATGTCCTTGTGAAGAGAATACATACATAAAACTTTTTGCCCCTCTGATGGACATAGATGTGGGAGCAGGCATCACGTGACTTCTTTTTATCTTCTAAATATTATTAAAAAGAAGTAATAGAGGTCTTAAAAATGAAACATTTAAATACAACAACTGAGTTTGAATCACATGACTCTAGATTTTGAAAGAAAGGAATTCTTGATGATCAATATGTCAGGCTCTTAATTCTTGATTGTTATGGGTTCTGAGTCACCAATAAACAATATTGCCACAGGCTTTTATTGATATTCAATTTACAAGGGCTCCAAGGATCTCCAAAGGGAATAGAATCCAAATATGGATGTCAGTCAAGGAGCTTGTCTAGCAAATTATATCTATTCAAAGCAACCAAGAAATAGAGAGAGATTATAAAATGAATCTGTAACTGACAGCGACTCAGATTGGTCTACAGGGTGATAATTTATGCTGCTATCCACAAAAAAGCTGTGATCCCTGCTACAAAATACCTGCATGGCTACTTTTTAGGTTTAGTTACTCTGTGGTATACAACCAGCAAAGTACCTGTACTCCCTCAGAGGAAAGGATATTTCTACATAATATCTTTGTATGAATGGCATTTCATTGCTTTATTGGGACATATGTCCAGGAGGGAATAACAGGAACTCATAACAGTGAAAAATGAGTATTAAGATGTACATGTGGAATTCTGTTTTCTGATACGCACACTTGAAAACTTATACATGTGTGACACTCTCTAAGAGTAATGTCTTGACATTTTCATGTTTCTAGGAGGCTTCTGGTGGAAAAGCAGTTGATCTATCTCTAAGGATATCACCAAGCACTGGAATAATAAAATCATGACTCAAGAAAACTGGTTCAAGAAGCTCTGTTCTGGTCACCATCAAGAGGGTTCTAAAATAAAATTGATTAGATATTTTCTATAACCTCTCTTTTATCAGCTTCCAGTGGATGTACTATTAGTTGCTATTAATTTAAATTTCAGGGATAGGATTATTTATAGCTTCTTGGAAGTGGTTTTTTTAATATATGGTTTAGTCTATTAATAATCCAACAAGAAATCAACTCCTTGGTCTATTAATAATCCAACAAGAAATCAGCTCCTTTCTTAGAGTAATTATGATTTCTCTGTCCTTTTTTTTTGTAAGTCATATAAGGTAAACCTATTGAAAGTACCTGATTGTCTACTTGCAGTCCATTGGTGAAAATATACATAAAATCTTGTTACTTGTAGTTGCCATGCTTAAAACCAGGACATTAAATGCTCAGCTATTAAAGCTACCAGAGACACCTGTTGCAAATTATTATATACCGCTGCTATAGCTGCTTTGTTGTTTCTCCATGGCCACTGTGAATAGGCTTTCTACTGTGTGTCAGCTTCTTCTGTGAGCCTGAATTGAATTCAGGCATAATTAGAAATCACATCAAAACATTATGTTAATTTTCAATTGATTTTATGATTTAATTCTATTAAACTACAGGCTTGCAAAGAAGCTATAAATCCTGTACATGTCTGAGTGTGCTTGACTGCTAAACAGCTTCTGGAAATGGAAGCTGCAACACATGCTGTAGCTAATTAAAAGACATGTTTTTACTGAAATCAAATTGCTTGTCAGTATGTCAGGTAAAAAGTCTATACTTGACACTCAAATGCCAAACAAAGTTGTTTTTTTTAGCTAGGTGATAAGTTATGCAGACTAAAAGGCTGTTGCAATGAAAAGCATGAATCACCCTATAATAATGGGAGAGTAATAAAGAAGAAAACCTGTGATGCTCCGTGAATAGTCAAGCCACAAAATCCCTGCACAACTCATTCCTCCAGCTTTTCAGAAAGCAGCTCCGTTTCTCTTTTTCCAGCCAGAATTACTATTTTGAGTGTCTAACTATTAAGGACAGATTTATTCAGGACTAGGCTGGGATGAGAGGGGCTGGATCTGGTGGTTATATGATAAAGAAATACTACCCTACTCTTGTTTATCTCCTTCCATCTAGGACCAGTGAAGTACACAAACCACTTACACAAGCTGGATACACAAATACAAACAGAGGACCTCATTTTAAATTAACTGTGAGACGAGCTATTGCTTTGGACTCAAAAAATTATAATTCCAAAGAATGATTAATTCTTGTATTACAGCCTGCATAGGACAAGACTACACTCTTGAATTAATTAGTCCAGCAACACCTTCTCAAAGCCAAAAAAAAATCCATGCTGTGCAGGGAAATTTGTTTGTGGCAGTTATATGCAGTTAGAACTTGATGCAATGTGAACAGAATTCAATAGTCAATTCAATAGCAATGGAGGATCACAGCTATCAATCACATCACCACCCCATAAATGAGCGATTTCACTTCAATCTTCCCTCCTGGTTTATGGAGTGGATTAATATAAAGAATTCAGAAATGTAGGTATATAAATAGAATGCACTTTTCTCTGAATAACTTCAATATATTCTTAGCATGAAGATGCCTTAATTTACATGAATTCTCTGCCTAAATGTTGGATTAATCAACACACTAGAGATATTTTGTGCTATTCTTTTGATTAAAACTAACACTAAACACAGTGTCTGCCTGTCATAAGCACCTGTTGTTACAGTATATCCCTATTATAATGATGGAGAGGAAGTAAGGACATGGAGAGAAGAGATACTGAAGAGAGTATGGTGTTCAGAGAAGTTTTCAGACAAGCTTGGTTAACTCACATTACTTTTAATAGAAAGCAGGAGCACAATGAGTCTAAGTGAATTGGAAATCAAAAGGTCTACACTGCAGGAAGGATTAAAAAGAGAAACCATCTCTCCTAAGCTCCAGATTGATACAGCAAACATTGGACTATTCTCACCTTCATTGGTTAAGCCCGATTCATGATTCCTTCAGTCAGGCTGCTCAAGTCCAGACTGACCTATTGGTCAACTGTCAGAGCGTTCTTTTTATTTTAGCTCAAGCACAGAAGCCTTGACAGCCACCCTTACCTTGTGTTCTGACAGGGTCTGACATGGGGCTGGGATCGCTCAGGCCCTGGGAATTGATGGCTCTCACCATGAACAGGTAGATCGTGTTGGGGCGCAGGCCCCTCACAGTGTAGAGGGTGCTCTTCACGTGGTTTGCCACTGTCTGCCAACTGTTGCTCACAGACTGACTGCAATGAGAAGAGGGTGGAAGGTTATACACTAACGCAAGAGAAAAATTAAGGAGTGAAAGGACCTATTTTTGTAACCCGAGATCAAGTCTAAGTACAGGAAAAATTAGTAAAAGCAGGGTAAAATTAAAAATACTTGTTTTGGCTAACTCATTGAGATGGGATAAAAAAGCAACACAGCTCTCAAAAGTATTTCTCATTGCAACAGAAGCAAAACCTTTTGCTGTTTCTTTAAAATAAATGCCTGCAAAAGGAAAGCGTGGAGAGCTGTAAAGTAAATTTGAATGATAGGCTACTTCTGAACATAAGATTTTAAAAGGAAAATTCTGTTAAAATAATAAGTTTTTATACTGCTAATAAATTATGTCAGTAAGTTGTCATTGGAAGAAAAGTAGTCTCCTTGAATTAAAATCATAAAAGTTAAAAAAAATTCAGAAAACTTGCTTTTAAAGGAAGGTAAGTATATGACTATTTTTTTTGTCACTACATTTTCAATTCAACATTATTATAATTAGATTAAAATCCACCATATGAAAAGATTTCAAATGTGATTGTAAAAACAGCTTTTAATGAAAATGTCTGGCTTTTGTTAAAATTATTGATGGGATGCCATTAAAGCTTATCTAGGGAGAAACATCACAAAAGTTTAAAGAGGAAAATTTATTTTATTGTGCTTTGTTGTATAAAGTATTGATAAAAAAAATCTTTAAACATATTAAGAGGAAAAAGAAAATGGAAAGCTACGAGTTCTGTGTTGTTTCAATTTCTTCATTCATGCAACGCATAAAGAATAAGTTCTAGAACAAAACAAACAAACTGCACATGCAATAATGTTCCTTACATATTAACAGAGCAGAATGAAGCATTTTAGCTAAAATTTGCATGCATACGATTTTGACTTGCATGAATTTTAATTAAAAGATGAACTGAAATATTTGTCATTTGTTGAATATCTTGATTAAGGAAAACTTAAGAATGTGTGGATTTTTAATCTGAAATGTGTACTACAGATCTGTTGCAGAGGTATGGCCCATGCTTAAACAAACTTGCTGAATTGGAGCTCAGGAATTCTTTTGTACCACATAGTAATTGCTGCTGTGTGGGAGGGAGCAGCTGGATTCTCTTCAGCCTCAGGTTGCAGGATAAAATCCTAAATTATCCACACTAGCCTTTTCACTTAAAAGTTTTCATCTATCTAAAACAGTAAGAAATAGAAATTTAAAGTGATTTGACTCTTTAATAGGTACTGCTTTAACAAGAGCAGGAATTAGTGGGCAGAGAAGTTTCAGAACCACCCACTTATTTTCATATCATTTGTCCTATGATATTCAAGAACCTGCAGCATTCCCACAGAAGACTCTCACTGACCATCAACATTAAGTAACAAATAATGACTGCATTGTTCTGTTATATTCCAGAAGAAATTGTTAGATGCTTCTCCAATTAATCTCTTAAAAAAAAAGATCAATTAAAAAAAAAATCAGTTTAAAAAATATGAATCAATGCCTGCTATAGGAGCTGTCATTTAATGAACCTCTAATGATACGTGTGGAGTCCAAAAGAACACCACAATACCAGGAGAACAGCTGTTACCAGGGTTTAAGCAAAATTAGAAAGAAAGGAGCTTAAAAGTGGAATAACTCACATACCTAAAAGCCTCAATGATATATGCACTGGCTGGTAGGCTTCCAGGGGTCCCTGGCTGCCAGGACAGGGTGACACTGTTCTTAGTAACATCAGTGACCTGAGGTTTGGATGGTGGCCCAGGGAGGTCATTTATATCATAATTTTTACTGACTGTTGCTCCACCGGATTCTGTGAAGGGCAAATGCAAAACAGTTATTTTTTATCCTTGGTTATATAATTTGATCAAAGTAGAAGATTAAAAGGAAAAAACATGGCAAACGTCTGCAAAAATCATCATAATGAATATTCTTAATCTGTAAAGAACTAAGTCAAAAATTGCACATGTGTTTGGATGAAGAGTTATCATTCTTTAAGTACATACTGAAAGAAAAAAAAATGCAAAATTCAAAAGGTTATATGAAAATATTTTTTCTAAAGAAAAAATAAAGAATAACAAAAACAAACAAAACAAAAACCACCAGCTTTACTGAAGTTTGCATAAAATACCAGAAACTCAGTTTCTAGAAAGCTGAGAAAGTTCCTGTATCCAAATCAACTCCAGTACTCATAGAGAGCACTTTGGACTTTGAAATGCCTCTGTGTAGGCATAATAGTTTTCTTGGCCAAGTAAATTATTGGATAAATTCACAGTTTATTAATACCCCTGTTTAGAAGAGTTATAGCTTCCCTCTGTCACTGGAGACAAACATAAAAAGTGTTTCTATGTCAACGGGCATTTAAAGATAATAGGAATGATATGGAAGGCTTGTGAAAGAACAGAACCTGCTCATCCAAAACTCCTCCATGTCAACCCCAGAAGTTCTAGAACGGATTATTTGACTCAGACTGCTCTGGTATGGTCTACACTTTCATTGTGTGCCAGCTGCAACAGCCCTGGACATCACTTACCTGTCACCTCCAGCACAGCACTCCAAGAGGTCTCCCCACTGGAACTTGTAGCCACGCAAGTGTAAGTCCCAGTATCTGACAGCTGGACATAAAAGGGGCATAAGGGTAGTTTTAACAACCTTTTAGAATCAGCTGAGTTTACTCTAATTTTCTTTTTCTAAATGTTTCTTGGTAAGAAGGACTTAGCCTACATTTTACATCAGACTAGAGGGCACCGGATATTTTCCAACAATCATTTAATGGTGGCTTACTTTTAGAGAACTATAATAAGATTACTTGCTTCTAATACTTTACTAATTCTAATTTTCATATTGTTAATGGTACCAGTACTGTAAATTCTACAGAATGGATGTTTTTGACAGTGCCAGTGCTTGTATTGGTTACAACAATTGCAGGTGAAATCAGGTAACAATATAACGACAATTAACCTCTTAGAGGGCAAAATCTCACCATTCATTATCCCATGATGAGCAAGAGGTACAGCTTCCAGTGCCAAGGAAGGATGTTACATCATCTTAGACTTTTATGACAGATGAAGTCATTTCTATGCAGGCCACCCCACAAGAAAATACTGTTGATGCTTAACAGTGGTTCTCTCTACACAGACAGTCCACCAAGCAATTTTCAAATAGCAAGATTAAATTAGATCCTACACCATACTTACCTTTCTTCTGTTTCACATGAGATTTTATTTCAGGCTTGCAAGGCCCTTTGGTAGCAAAAAAAAAGTGCATTGGTATAAAACTATTGTGTTTCCCTTGTCAGTTCAAATATTTTAAATTTATTTGGGGAAACTGTTTTGAATTTGATTGTCAATATTAATCTCATCACTGTATAAACTGTTCTACTAGAAAATTTGCCAGGTGTTTTCCTATTCCCTATTTAAATTTAAAATAAAGATTTCTGAGTCAGGAACTAGTGAAGACCACAGAGATGGATGGGAAACAGTAACTTTACAAAGCACAAAATATACAGAGAAGTTCTCCTACCACTATGCATAAAGCATGGTAATCTGGAGGTGGAAGCAGAAGAGGGAGAGTGCTGGCTCTAGTAATAAAGAAGAAGAATTATATTCACCCTCAGATGACTTGATGGAAACAGAAATGCATCCAAAAAGCTTTATTGGACTTTAAGGAATTGTAATGGGTTTTCTGTTAAATGCAGATGGCACTATTGTATATGTGCTTATACTTCACTCTTCAAGAAGAATGTGAAGGCAAATAAGCACGATATTCTTTAGATTACTTGTTGATGTAAAATCTAATTGATTTTTACCTTGGTCATGTTTGAATTTTGTTGGTATTTTCTTCAGATACAGTGAGACTGCAGTGTACCATTCTTAGGGGAGGAAGCAACTTAAGAGGAGGAATTCTTAGGGGAGGAAGCCAGCTCAACTGCCTGAAGGAGCCTAACTTGCATTTCAGGAGATTATTTTTCTCCGTGAAACACATGCAACAGTGAAACCCCTCTGACAACGCCTCAGACACTCAAAATATAGTGGTGCTGCTGATGAAATGAGAAAGGCTCTTGAAAGGAGAGATTTTCCAGAGGAGAGGGCCTAATAGCATTCTGAAGCAGTATTTTATTTTGCTTCCTCTGAGCTTTTATTAAATATATTATTCTTCATTACATGATAATGGGGAATGTTTCTCAAGGCTATGGTTCTCAACTTCATTTGTGTGCTACTATGACAGATGGTGTATGGCATACTCAATGAAGTATGTGGTGTACACGACTGTAACTTGCAGAAGACAAACTCAACATACAAAGCAAGCTGGAGATACACTGCTTCTTGCAAGTTATGGCAAATTATCTGACTTCCAGACTGTGGATGGATTAGATACAGACACAATGTGTTGATAATTCAATTATTTATACTTCTTTTTTTGTGCCATGGAAAAAACAATGGGGAAGCGAATGGAAAAATGTTTGCTATTCAGTAAAATAAACAGTTTTGTTCCTTAATTAATGCAGGTGCCTAAACCTGCTGTGGTAGATTCTGTGGAGCAGAAGGGAGATTTCCATAAGTGTTGAGCTGTCTGAACAGGTACTGAGTGAGCGACGTAGGTGAGTTTTCAGTTATTTTCCTCAGAGCAACTGGAAAGATTGGCTCACCAGAAAAATCTCTATGTTCATACTTATCACTGTGGCCCATGTGACTGCTGCAGGCTCATGAATAATTTAATTGTGATGTAACAGAAAGAGCTACATAGCAGAAAATGACCAGCTAAAAAGGGACCTTAAAGATCATCTCCTTCCAACCCCTCTGCCATGGGCAGGGACATCATCCACTAAACCAAAGCTGATCAAAGTCCCATCCAACCTGGTCTTGAACACTTTCAGGGAGGGGGAATCCATGACTTCTCTGGGAAACCTGCTCCACCCTCACAGTAAAGAATACCTTCCTGATATCTAATCTAAATCTACCCTCATCCAGAAGGCTGAGGACATGTGGGTGACAAATACTAACTTATTTTGAACTTGGATATGTTAAGCGCACTTGGACATTTTCATGGCCATTTTTTGCTTAGGAAGTGGTGCTAGTCCTTGCTCAGGTAACCCTGAGAGAAAAGTTAAACATTCCACTCTTAAATCCATGTTTAATTCACAAAAAATCGCAAGGGACAGGAGAAATCTGTGGTTTATGGTCCTGTGTAGTTTTTGTTCTTAATTTTGAATGCACTGCTATAGAAGGGTTTATAAAAAATGCCTTTCTGAACCTCTAAGGAAAATTGGTTAGTAGTGAATGAGCCACTTAAGGATCAATAAAAGCCTCATGTCTTTCAAAACCACACTCACTACTAATACTGTTTTCTTCTCCCCTTGCAAGCGAATTTTTTTTCCCTTTAGTTTACAGACTTTGGGCCTCTGACAGCGAGATTAATGCACCGGCACGATTCAGAACCAATTTCATTGTTTGCATAGCTGCATGCAGACAGGTATCCCAGGAGCTTCTGCCTCATGGACACTCCACAGAAGCCCATCATCAGTGCCTGGAAGTTTGTTTGAAATCACTAAGCCTCCACCTTTAATTGCTGCTTTCTAACACTACTGGGGAATCTTGACTATTCAAGCGCACTCTTTTAATCCAGCTCTACAGGAAAAATGCATTAACCTTCATGGCCTAAACCTGCCTTCAGCCTAGGGAGGAAGGATAAATTGTTTACTCAAGGAAAGCTAGCATAAATTTTTTAATAAATTCCATTTTGTTCCAAGAAAGTTCACAATTCATCTACGCTCACTGATGAGAAGGTATCAGAAAACAAAACTGCTCTTTATGTCTTGTCATCAGTAGCTACGTTTATTGACTTTTTTTGGATGGAAAAGCCAAGTGCAGAAATTTCTGCTGATGAAATTAAGTCATTTCTGAAATTGTCTTTAAGCTCTTGACAAATAAGGACATTTAACTTACTATTTTTCCATGTGCACGCTTGTCCAAATACACACAAACAACTAACATGTGTTTATCTTTGAACAGGGAAAAAGTAAAAGCCAAAAAAATAGATTAGTGATGCAATATTTATCAACCACATGGGACGTTATGCTATTTGGAATATTATAATATCATGTGTTAAAATGTAAACGTTACAATAGGTATTTATTTTGAACAGAAATCCTGCTGCATATGACTTCATGTACTAGTTGTCTTTTGCCATTTGCAGCCTGGTGGAATACTTCCAGCGAGCATAACATTGGAATAAATCATCCAGTTCAGGACTGACGAGACTTATTGATGGAGAAAGTGCGTGGTTAAACTCTGATGAACTCTAGATCACGTGCTACCACTACAAGTCCTTGGAAAATTATGATCAGGTGTTGCCAAGGAACTGCTCTAAGTTTAACCAGAGAGGCCAATGGCTTCATAGTAAGACTAACTGAAAAGACAGGAAGGACTGTCCTTTTATATCTCTATCCATATCCAACTCATGTGTTTTCCTGAAACATACATAAGATTTTAAACATCAGTTCTATTTTTTAGGGAATTCTCATTGAAATATCTGACACTAGTTTTACTCTTCTCTTTTTTCCCCGTCTTCCCTACACAGTGTCAAAGAATGAAACAGGACATGGACTTGGAGAGAATCGCAGGGCAAGAAAGACGAGTTAACCTTGAAGACAAGGGGGAGGCAGCAGAGCTGCTCCAGGCACACGCCAACAGGTCGGAACCAGCCGCGTAGAACCTGTCACGCCTGCTTGGTCACCGTCACTCACCCGCAGCGCTTTGATCTGAAGCGTCCCCTGGTCCTGTATGGACGTCCGAGGGTCTCGGCCCAGGAAGGTGAATCCTTCTTTCAACCAGCTGATGACAGGGAGGGGGTCGCCGGTGGCCTTGCACTTCAGCAGAGCTGTGCCATCCACTGCCAGTGTCTGGTTGATGGGTCCCTGGAGGATGATGGGTGGAGGCCTATCTGTCAAGACTAAACAGCGACACCCACACCTTTAAAGATCCTCCGCTCCAGTGAGCCCTGTTCCTTCACACAGCACCAGTTCTAAGAGACTGGTTTAAGGCAGCATCCAAGAGGTTAAAGACATTGTTTTTGGAAGACCCGTACATGTCAACGATTAGCTGGCATATTTGAAAAGTATTTTTGTAAGGATTTTATTTCACCACTGCGAGACAACACCTAGACATGTAAATTTCTGTCAGCAAAGATCATCAGACTCATTTGGTTAACACAGGATGAAAATTAAGACCTTGATTCGGAAAAGAATTGAAGTGCATCACTTATTTCTTACAATTTAGGAAGGCACTTAAAGCACACATTTGATGTCACATCAAAATGTGCTTAATTGCTTACCTAATTTATGGCCTAGAAGAGAAAAATCTGTTAAGAGTTCAAAGTGAAAAACTAACACTATTATAACGTGGGTACCAACCACATCCCCAGTCCTGCTCAATTTGCAAGTTTTCATCTGCAAAAATACCTCACAGTAATACAAACCATCTTCACAATCTGAGTGATCTAAATGACTGTACCACTCTTTCCAGTGGAGAAAAGCTCAAACTCAATCACACCATTTAAAAGCTTACTTATCAAATCATTTCATCACCTTTTAAAGCCATGAACTCTCTTAATTTTTTCCCCTGATAATTTACATTTGCATGCTTGAAACACTGCTTAAAGGACTCTGCAACCAGTGAGTGTGTGGCTCTGTATAAACCTCATTCCATGACCAGTGGGACACCCTGAAGATGAGATAAAATGCTCGTGTTCACTTTTCTTGAAAGATCATTTTTGATAAATTATTCTGCTTGTTGAACTTATCCTCTGAGCCATCTGTTAAGCAGCAAAATATAACTTTTTGTTTCTAAAGAATGTGTTTATACAAAACGAATGTGAAATACTTGAATATAAACAAGGCTTTGACTGTTGCATAAAATCAGTATCACAGAACTGAGTATTCATTTTTATATATTTACCTGCCATATTGCTACTGTTTTAAAGCTTTGAACAACTGAACAATTATGTGATTGGTATTAAATATTGTAACAGGTAGGATTATCTTCTAAAGCAGTGTAAGTTAGCCTCCCTCTGCTGATGTCAATTGAGTTTGAACCATTTATTCTAGCTGAAAATCTGTTTATCACAGTCCATAGACAACATTTGACTCTGACAAAGAAGTGAAAAGAAATTATTACAAAGCAATAAGGTTTCTGTTGTATTTGAGCTGTTTGAGATGCAAAGGTCCCTCTGGAACCTTCAACAGATCCAAAGTGCTTTCATTACACTATTTAATAAATAAAAAATATTAGGGACATGTTGGTGGTACATTTTATACCTAAAATAATTGTTTCTGAAATTTGAATGCTGCAAAAATACAACTACCCTGTTTTGTTAACGAGATTCACAAAGGACAGAATCATTAGTATAATCAGAATCACACCTTGCAGTGTGAGTTCATCACATTTATTGAAATTGAAACTGAAAATAGAAGCCAATAAAGACTATTTATTAACACCAGAATGTGAAAGTTATTTTGGAAATTCTGAAATATCACCCACTGAACTCAGAGATAGGACAGCAAACACTATGTTACAACAACAGAGAAAATGTAATGCATTTTCACCTAAATATGAATTTTTTTATCTCATTAAGGTTCCTTATAACTACACAGTGCAGCCATTTGGTGAGAAACAAACTGATCTCATCTCCTGTGTACTATAAGGATACCTGCAGCACAAGTATATTCAAATGAAAATTTAACTGCGAGTTATCCTTTAGATTTAATGTAAAACAGGACATCCAAGTATTTTAGGCAGCTAAAATTTAAGGAAAAATTACTATTTAAGTTGCTAACTATTCCATCGCAGTTATTTGCTTCACCTAATTGTTTTTCATATGTGTAGCAATGTAGGCATTTTCAAAACCTACCGCATTACAGATATTGTTCTTTGGCACGTAATTAGTTTTTTTACAGCACAAATGAGGAGCTTATAATCCTTTAAATAGCTCTGATCAATAGTGTAATTGAAAGTCTCCTGGCCAGAAGGAATCTTCATTTTCAAGGGTGTCATGGGTGAAAGACCACTACAGGTTTCCATGACACTAAGGCTAAAGGTTAAATGAACACTTAGGGTTTCCACTGATCTGTAAATGACTGTATTGTCTTCACAACTAGGACTTGTAAATCTTCCATAAAACCTCTGTGGGTGCTTGTGTTCCTACCTCATTAGTAAGGATCCAAAACTTGCTTAGAGGTTTAAAAACATATATCATAAACATTCTGAAGAACAGAGAGATTATGAAAAATATCCATAAAGTGGTGTGGTGTTTGTTAGTTGCTTTTAAAATATTTTAATTTATTATTTTTTTTTCACTTACAGGAAACTTTTACATCCATTCCGCAGAAACACTGTCTGTGGCTAGAAATATGTTTGCATGGTAAATCAGAGGTTGATTTCAAAATTAATTTAATTTAAAAAATGGATTTGAAACTATTTGCCAGTATCCATATATTCTTACATTCTGGTAACTGAAAAATTAAAATATTTCTTTTGTGATAAAGTGCATCTTAAAATTGGAACAGATTATACGAAAAGAACAAATTATACTTGCTAATTAACAGTTTATTCACTAAAAATGCAATTAGGATCAACTGAAATCATGTTTAACTTCGAGTGGAATGTGGTCAAATTACAACAGGAAATTAAAATAAGAGAATGACAAAATGAAGTCTTTACTTTTTCACTTCCGAAATCAAAATTTAAAAAACTTTCCTGGTGAATTAATGGGGAAAATCAGACATAAGTCATGATGAACACTAGTGTGATAGGGTAGGGCTAGGGTTATGTTGGAAAAGCATAGACCAATCCTTCTGTCTTTTTTTGCAGAAGAGCTTTACAGGAGGCTGTGACATTGTTCTGAATCTATCCTGTTTGAGACTGTCACACTTGCTACAAAATATTTAATATACATTTGATGAGGACTAAGAATCATGGTGGCCAGATTTGCAGGCAAGTAAACTGTGAGTAGAAGATTTAAGAGAGAGATATCCCAGAGTATTCAACAGACCTATAATAAAAAAAAATGCAAAGGAGTTTGGGCAAAATGCCTCAAGTGTCTGTCCCAAATCAGTGGAGAGTGGGCTGCTGAGGTATTCTGCCAACTCCTCCTCTTACTTTTCTTAATCTATTCTGAATTATCCTTATAGATCCAGCCTTTTGCTTTATTGAAAATCCCAGAAACACAATGTTTTAAATTAATTTAATATCCTAAACCGGTTCATTCTTATGTTGTCAGAAAAATGCACGCTGTGAGGCTAATCTTTTCCTTCCACCCCAATACTCACCCTAAACAGCAACTGCTGGGTAAACTGGACAAAGCATGATCCTACAGCTGAACATGTATTGGCCACAATTTTTATTAATAAGTGTTAATGATTACTAACTAAGGAGAAATTCAGATCTTTTCCAAAATATTCTGTGCATGATGGATAAACTTATGTAACTAAATACTAATTGTAAACTATTCATTTTATGCTGAGCACAGACATAGATGGAAGCATTTGGTTTATTTCCAGGATCTGTCATTTTAAGACTGTGAGCTGTATATTCACTTCTTGAGTTTGAAAGGATTGCTAAGATTTTTCAATTTTTAAAATGATTTTGCTTTTCCAGATGTGCATTAGACAGTGAATTACATGATAGCCTTTCAAGAAAATACAAGATTTGAATTTCAAATACACCGAAGGCTCTTAGCACAGTCCATAATCAGCAAAATTATCACTCAACTCAGCACATTTCATCACAGCTAGTAATCTCTTCTCATGTGAACACTTGAGTTAAAAATATTTCCAGTAAAGACTTGTAAGTGCAAAAATGTTAACAACTGAAACACTGCTATATATGGTATAATTAAGCACTTGTTTTTCTGCACATGACATGTTTTCATTCTGTATTGGAACTTCAATTGGATCTAAATTACTCTGGATCAAACAAAAATGTGTTCAAAATGAAAAAGATGGCTCGCCACTATTATTAAATCATTAACCAAACAGAAAAATTCTGGGCTATGAAGTAAAACTGAAATCACCAGCCAAAAACTAGAACACTAATGCTTAAGTATATAGCTAACGTGCACAGTGTTTATCTTTTATTATATTTTTAAAACCATTAAGTTAGATTTCCCTACTGACAAAAATCATTAGCTTCCTTAACTTCTGCTCAGCATCAACCAAAATAGATTATTTCGACATTTATGGGTAACTTCCTAACTAAAAGCAATTAAAAAAATATCTGTGATCTAATGGTAGATTTATTTATATAATCTCAGTTCCACAATGTTGTTTTGGCACTTTTCTTCTGACCTCACCTGCCCTTTGACTCGGGGATGAAATGGTATTTCTATAAAGCAATTTTGTATTTTTTTCATAATGATCATGCTGCTGACAGTGGGTTCTGGAAAGCATTTGAAGAACACAGGCCTTGCACTCTCTGAGCAGCAGAGCCTCCAGCTAATGCTTTCTCCAGCAATGTGAAATGCACGCTGCCTTTAATCAGAATTAGCTGGAGGTGAGTTTGCATTTTAGCAGGGACACTTTCCTCTAATAAACTAACGAAAATTCCAAAGAGATCAATTGGGATTTATTTTTTTTTCCCTGCACAAGAAATGGACCACAGGCCTTGCCTGTCAAAAGGAAGAATTTCTCACCACTCGTGTCCTTGAACCTGATTTGATCCACTCAGCGCCTGTTGCTGTAAATCTGTGCAGCATCAGCAGGTGCAACCATTAACAGCTCAATGTCCTCTCAGCCAATGTTTGTGTGTTCTATTTATTCCAATCACAGTCATGGCCCTGAGTCAGGCAGCACTATGGACAGATATTACAAAATACTGCCTTTCCATTAATTTTAAACGACCTTTTAATCTACATTTAAATTTGAATTGAATGAAAATGCATCATTTTCTCTCAGACCATGAGAGAAAGGACTTAAAGGGATCGTAGAGAAAAGCCAAGCCTTTAGCGTCCAGAAACTACAGAAAAGCAATGTGCTTGAAGAGATGTGAGGATAAGGCAGAAATTATCTTCCCTTGTCATAAAAATATAGGCAGCTTTTGGAAAACAAAGAAAAGGCATCAAATTAATGCTCAAACCTCTATAACACGAGCCTGAACCTCTCTACCTGTCACTTGTGATGAATATGCTCTTGTGAAAAGGCAGATTATTCAAAATTAGACATCTTTTCAAACTTTCGTGGTGCAGGCAGGTCTCTAAGGGAACAGTAAAAGTAGACCTCTGCATATAACAACAGTTTTAATGGCAAAAATTCATCAAAGTCTGTCAGGAGATGTTTAATGTGTCAGTTAAGATAAGGAATAATGATGCCGGGGAATGCCACAATCTCCTGGTATAAGAGGAATTCTACTGTTTTCCTCACTAACATTAAAAGATGCAAACTGCCTTCTATCCACAAGAGGATGAAGAGGATATCAACAGGATTCCTGACATATGAAAAGGATTCATGTTTGGAGACGGAGTAAGGTAAACTTCAAGGCAGGATAAATTTCAAACCCAAAAAATTTGAAATGGAAAGCATCAAGAGAGATGCTTTTCCTTTCCTGAAAACTCTTCTCTAACTTCTCATTTTCATGGCTTTTTTCACACTTAACCATACAAGGAAATTCTTAGAACACAGCTCTGAGGTAGGTGCCTTATTCACAGAGCGACTAAAGGGCTACATGTAGCTATTGCAAACCAACAGTACTCCACTACGTTGAAACAACTGCCTTGGTTTAATTGAGCTGAGGACACATTCCCAAACTAGCTGTGTAAGATGGTAGTGAAGACTGTTGGGAATCAGGACTAATTTTTTTTTGCACCCCAATTCACTGCTTTAATCATAAACTTATTCATTCTCCACAATGTTTTCTTGCAGTCGTGTCTTAGCTCTAGCAAACCAAGCAGCTTCCTTTCTCACCAACCTTATTTTAAGCTTGTTTTTCCCTTCTTTTCATTGTTAAGGAACCTTCAGAAAGCAAGCAAAAGGAAAAATAGGCCTTGATGCCTTTTTGATTCCACAGACAAGTGCACGGAGATCCTTTTCCATTTTATTTCCTATGTAAAACTGTCCGTTTCCTTGTATGAATTCCGTGATCTCACATGCCTTTATTTACACTGCTTTTAAAAGACTTTTGACAGGAAAAAAAAAAACAACTGGAATTTCTAATAGCTCACCATCAGTAACCTCCAGCTGAGCCTTTGCTAAAATGCTTCCAGCAACCGTCAGTGCTTGACAAATGTAGTATCCTGCATCCGAGCGCTGGATGTTGGTAATGGTGAGGTCTCCGGTCGGTGACACCGAGTACCTGCTGTTGGGCTGGAGAGGCTGGTTTGGGAAGAGTAGGTTCTGCAAAGACAATTCATCAAACATCAGTTCAAAACACTAAAGCACCACTTTTCACTCAGCTGGAGAGGCGACGATTTTTCCCTTAAAAGTACTATAAATAAACTAGAAGGAAAAGTAAGGCTTTATGAACACACAGAGCTGGCTTTCCCTGCCTTGGGCAACTTGCAGTTTAAATTAGAAACAGCCCTTTGACAGCACACAGTGCTGTGTTCTGGGGGTGTAGGCGAGGAGACATTTTCCAACAATCACAGTGGAGTGATTTATATTTGTGACACATTCATCTTCTTTCTGAATGTAATTGTAATAATATACTTAGTTTGGCTATCAAACCAGGAGGACATAACACTACAGTAAACATTGGAAAACTAGCAGAAAAAATTGACTCCTGGAGACTTGAGGGAGCATAGCACTATTGTCTGGCTGTTAATATGTCCTGGGCAAAGGAGAAAGTAAGAGTAGGGCACTGAAGTAAAGCTGGGAGGAAGATATGACCAGGTCATAAAAGTAGGAGAAGCTGGCAGAGCATGAGAGCTCAAAGGAGAAGTAAAAAGAAATTAAAACTGAGATATACCAAAGGAGAAATGCATCATGGAGCCTTGAGGGTGAAGAGAAAGGGTATTAATCTGATGTAGAAATCATCAGAGAGAAAGAATAATTTCATGTAGGATAAGACATCAGTTAGCAAAAAACAGGGAGATTAGCTTTTGCCTTTGGGCTGGATTGGAGAAAAGAGAGATGTCAATAATAATAGCTGGAATGGCTGTAGTAGTCATTGCATATGATGAAGGACTGAATGAATCAATACTGAAAAGGTTTTAGTAGTGAGGGCTGTGTTTTCAAGGAAAAAGTTATACCATCTGGCACAGCTCTTGTGAATATATAAGAACAGGAAAAGGAAAGCAATGCGAAGGGAAAGGTCAGCAGCATTGCCCAATGAGGCAGAAAGGAGAAGAGCTTAAACAATAATTAAACAAAAGTAATTCCAGTAAAATAGGATCTGGCTTTTATGTCAGCTCAACAAGCCTCTATGAAAAATACAGTTGTTTGCAGCAGGAATATCCCAAAACACTTAACATGCTGTGATAAGCTTTCAGTCATTACTGCAGCTCTATATAACTCTGCTGTGCTTTCCCTATGATGATTCCCTACTAACTTGTAAGCTTGTCTGTATGGGCTAAAAATAGAATCTAAAAGTGTAAAATAGGGTATTAAGTGAATTTTCTGCAGACCTGAATGGTTTACAAAAAAGGATTTGGAACTGATAAGCAACAAACTGCTTAAGAAACAAATAAGAATTCAAATAAGAAACAAATTCTGCTTTTAAGTGAAACTCATGCCTTTATCTCTATGGTTTTGGCAGTAAAAGGAAAGTGATATGCTTTAAATAAGATCCGATGCTGTAAGTATCCTTATAATTGTATTAACCTACAAGGATACTTGTCACCCTAGGCTTTTCCCTTGCCTTGTTTCAATGGCAATGTTCAAGAAATTTATAACAGCAGATTTTTTCCTCAAAAATCAATATGCACTCAGTAAACATGTCAGATCCAATAGGAAAAAAGTGTTAAAATTCTGAAGCAATTTCAGGCTATGGGATTGAGTGGATCTCAAATAATTGCCTTGTTTTCTGAACAGCCTTGAAACTTTCAGAATAACTTCTGCTTGGCACAGATACCTACTGAATGAGGGTATTATGAAAACTTCACTAAATTTTATGAGAAAGTGGAGAATTTTGGCATGGCTGATCTTGACTCTGATTATCACTCATTATGTAAAGTGTATAAATAAACACAATGTAAAAGACAGTGCAAGGATCAAGCTCCTAATTCTTATGAGTAAAAAAAATCCAGAATCCTCTTTATCACTGCATTAGGCAGGGGAGACTACTCTTCTTTTTGTCTTCAGCATGGGCCTCTCTGTTCTGGAAGGTAACATGTTCCAGTAAATATTCCACACATCAGGAGGAGTTCACCAGTCTCACGACTCCTCTCTTCAAAGACCAGATAACTATGAACTATAACTTGTCCTAAATTACAGTAAAACCTCTTTTTTAAATGCTTTTTATAATTTCACTATTTTAGTTAGCTGTTGGGTTGCTCATCTGGACACAGATGCTGGGTTGTGAAAAGTGGGACCGAAGATATCCCCAGTAAAGTACCACTGAATTTATCTCAAGGAAGAATTTAATCCACAGAGTCTAAGATTACACACACCCTTCCCTCATGCATTTCATTGATGGGTGGCTGTTGGGCTCTGGGAAAAGGCCACCAAGTACAAAGGGCCAGCTGTTTATGCACAGCCTGGCACAAAAAATTACTCAGGAAGGAACAGCTCCCCTCCCTTCCAGCTGGTTGTGCTCAAAAACACAGGATTGAGAAATGGAGTCTCAATGAAAAATGCCCTACAATTACTGGAGTGGGATAACACGACTACATAATACTATTTCAAACCCTAAAAGTGGAGCTGCAAACAGTTCCCCAAGTAAAAGCAGAAGCAAGCACTGTAGAGACAAGAAACAATTTATAGCTGGGCATGCAAAGGTGAAAAGTCACGTAATTTGGCAAAAACACCACCCTCCATTTATATGATGATATACAGTGTGTGGAAACTCACCTCCCTTATGGCATCTCACTGCAAAATCTGGCAAGTTATATAGTGAGAGGGTAACCCTAACCTGTGTTATTTCACTCATGATCAATCGAGATTAGCAGGAGGCTGTTGTAAATCACACTGAGCTGTGTTTGAAGGTTTGATTATAAACCATGTAGGTATCAATTTTTATGTTGCATTTATTTGCCAAAAAAGACTTTTCTAACCCTCGGGGATCTGTTTCTCAATATGGTAATTAATTTTCCAGGTTTGTAATTAAGCAGCTTCAACATGGTACAATCAGTAGGTAATAACATTCAATTAAAGACACAAGATGCATTTTCACCTTAAAATGTTTTTACCCTTGAAGTGATAGAAATGGAAGAGGATAAAATAGAGTATTAACACTTTTCAATTACACTAAATGACTTTAATCCTGCAAATGATGTCCTACTTTAATTAGAAGCTCTTCTCTTTATTACAGCATGATGGATGTCCACTTTATTAGATTCAAGTGTGACACTATAAGCTCACTTTACATAAACATTACCATGTTATTAAAATGCTCTACAAGGAAGGGTTTTGAAATGTCTGCTAGCACATCACTACTTCCTCCTTTAATTTCAACATACTATTCTACTTTCCCCTTGGAACAATTGCCACCTTAGCCAGACTTGCAATACTTTGCTTTTCCAGGGTGTGTGATCCATGGAGGCGAAATCTAAGTTTCTCCAAATATTACACTGAGAGATACACACTGAAGGTTAAGCTTACGCTCAGACAAGCTTATTTTCATAAAGCAATAGTGTAGTATCTTTGTAAGCCACAAAGACAGCAGAGCACAAAATGCTGTCAGCCTGGTCCTGTCATTCTGGAATAGCTTTCTGATCTCGTGAGAAGGTGAAGGAGAAGCAGGTGGGGCAGAGCAGGAGATCTATGGTTCAGCTCTTATCTCACATTTTAACTGAGCTTGTGCACACAGTGCCTCCAGATCTGACAAAAGGCACGTCTGCACTGCACAGCACAGTGTGGATACGTGAGTTAACTCACATGGGGGAAAGTAGCACAAGGGTCTGAAGAGACCAACCTGCCAAAAGAGAAGGGTATATTGCATAGATACACAGACAGGTGTAGCCATGACAGGGTTCATCAGGGAGTTGCAGAAGGCACTGTCCTTGGGCATTCATTTGGCCCTTTTAATCTTTTCTCAGGTGCAAAAGAGAATACAGCATGTAGTTTTTGCAGTGTTCAAATTTAACATACTAACATGAACTGCACACTCAAAGTGAGGAGGCCTGACTTCTGCTGTAACAACATGCCAATGCAGCAACAGCAGTAAAGAAATGTCATGATGTGACATTCAAACCTTAAGCTGTAGAAGCCAGTGCTGGCTGACGGCAGCGCCCATCGCCACATCACAAATTCTGCCTGCAAAAAAGATCGGGGAAATATTTCCAAAACCAGATCTGGAAATTTCCCGGGACAATTTTACTCAAGAAAGCACCTGCGTGTTCAAAACCCATATCTGTATGCTCCAGGAGAATAAGCCAATGCAAATCAGCTTGCGAGATACACATCTGCCTGATCACGTCTAGACAGGTTGTGAACTGTAATTACTGACTCTGATTAGTAAAAAATTGAGTCATACCTTTTTTTATCTACTGTGCCTGTCTCACCCACCTGTTTGTTGGGGGCTTCAGAATGAAAAGCCTTTACTGTTGCTTTCTGTACATCTGCACAGCACCTAGCCCAAGTTTCAACGACTTGAATGGCCTTTGTATTCTTCATAATATCAATATTTAAAAAAAAAAGGCAGCAAAAATTTCAGTACAGAATAGTGATAGTTTAAAAAGACAAATTCCTGTGAAAGATTAAGAGAATCTGTAAAAGGTAATATAAAAAATTTTCCTTAAAATTTCACAGTATAACTATTTAGAAAGGCTTGAAAGACTTATAGGTTGCTTACAGCTTACCTGACTTCCCTCTTTTTGCCAGAAAACAGCTGGCTGGGGATTTCCTTTAGTTTCACAAGGAAAAGTCACTGTTCGACCTTGGGCTACAATCTGGTCTCGTGGTCTCACCACAAACTGTGGAGGAGCTACAATGTAAGAAAAAACATAGTGTAAGTTTAGCATATTTTGCAAGGGAGAGACAGGGAATACTGAAGGAAAGAGACAACATTATGGAGATTTGTTTTATGTCAGAGGACATGACACCAGAAACATTAATTAGTATAGACAGAATTAATATATAAACAAACAACAACAGCGACAGAAAGAGCAGCAATATATGTACGTGACATCCCCAGTTATTAAAAAAAAATAAAAAAGGAAATAAACATTACAACCATACATGCTAGAGTCAATTCTGATGACAATAAATGCTAAGGAGCACAGTCAGAGGTTTATATTTCTGGCTCTGGATGTATTCTACCTTTGGTCTGGAAAGGTACCTGCACTCTCATAACCTCTTAGGCTTCACAGAGCTATCATGTGTTGCAAGTACGAATTAGGATGAACAGACTGTCTTTCTCAGTCTAGCCCTCTAGACTTTTTAAAATGATTGAGAAAGGAAAGGAAGGTCTGGATGACAGCAGAAGAACAGAAGTTCAAGAGCTCTCTCAGTTCTCTTAGAGGCAGTGTGGTCAAGAATGGAGTGGGAAGGAGGAGTTGCAGTAAAAAGAATGGTAGATAAAACAACACAAACTTGGGAAATCCAGATTTTGGCTTGTTTAAAGATTAGAAGGAAGCAAAAGTTGAAGAGTTAGTGGGCAGAAGTGAGTGGTGAGTGAGAAGGAATAGGTATTCCAAGAGATCAGGAAGAAACAAGGAAAAGAAAAAAAGGAGACTGGGTTCAAAGCGAGAAAGAAGAACCAGGATTGGCTATGTTTTCAAGTAGCTGGCATTAACAGTGTTCAGACATATGGGACCAGGAGGCACAGTCAGAAGTGAACAATTTCTAAGAGAGAGGAGTAGTTTGACTTGTACTGGAAGGTACTGACGGAGAATAGAGAGTCAGTACTTGGTGAGAATGAGAAGGTAGAGAAAAGGTGTTAATGTGTAGAAAGAAAGTGAGGAAGAAGCAGTATCAGAGCATTTGAGAGAGAAAACTTGACATCAGTGACTATGTTGAGCATGATGTAGTAGTAAAGCAAATGGCTTTTCTATGAGTGATATGAAAACCCTTCAGTCTTGATTCATCACTGAAACTGGATCTGTACTATTTTGCATATCTTAAAAAATGCAAGCAGTGTCTCCAGATATTCTTATCAAAAGACTAGCTAACTTTTGGGGCAGGCTGAGGAAGGGGACAAAACAGTAAAAAAAAAGAAAAAGAAACAAACAAAAAACATTTTCTTCTATTACATTATTGGTTTTGTGGTTGTGCAGAGGGATGGCTTAGGAACACTAAGCTTTTAGGTAAACAGAATTTAAGTGTTTTAGAAAACCGTATTTTCACCATTATAATTACAAACTATTTAATTAGGCACGAAGAGCAATCAAGACCCAGCTTCCGATTACACCTGCTGACAGCACAGACACAAATCTGCTAACTGCATAGAAATGCAGGCAGACCTGATTTTTTTTGAAACACACTTTGCAGTGATCTCCTGAGGTACTTCCCGAGGCTTTACAGATCAGCAGGAGTCTAAAGAGCATCAGTTCAATAATGCTGGTATAATGCACTCTTTAAAACAAGAACTGCAAAGCACTTTATAAACATGAACCACCATAAATTTAAAAGGTAGAGAGCATTTCTTCTGCCTCACACTCCTAAACTCAGGTTTTGGCCTTCTGGAAAGAAGTGTCCACCTCTTCCTCCACCTCAGTAGCTGTTAAATCATCTAAACAGGCAGGGGAAAAGGCCTTAGTGCCCTGCTGATGCCTGTTCATAGCCATGTTTTGAGGTTTCTATAAGGTGTGTCTATACATACTCTAGGAAGTGAACTCATGCTATTCTACTCTTAAAGTGCTGAGCTGCAGCGAGTTACTTGTTTTTCCCTCACCTGGTTTTACCAAGCAATCTGTATGCAACAAACACCTACAGATGTCAGGAAGCAGCAGTGTGATAATCAGTGCATGTGTTAGCTCAGTCAGTCACACAGGAGGAGAAAAAGAGAGAGACCTTTAAGCTGTGAAGTAGAAACCTCCCCTTCCTTAGGCATATCTTAGGTATCTCTACGATTCTGACCACCTACTTAATAAAGGTCACTGGGCTAGCCCAGTGTTTGCTGCTCAGCCACAGAAGTTCATTGCCCAGGATATCAATATAGAATCAACAGCAACCTCAGGCACAGCAGAGAGAAGAAAACCTCTCCAGGTGTTATACCTTGATTTGACAGGAACGACGCATGAGTCCTATGTCTATGCTGCCTTACGGGTGGCCTTGAAACCACAATCCTTCTGTTGGGATGCTAAAAACCTGGCGCCAGGAGACCATCCCATAGATAAAACCTAAGCATGATGGATGCCCAAGATCACTTTGCAGGCATGCTTGGTGCACTGGGGGTATGTTATACAGGCAGTGCTCTGAGGCAGCTCAACAGCAGCAAGAAGGGCTCGGCATTTCCATGAGCCCATCTTTCAAGTCATGTAACTGCATAAATGCAAGGCAGGCAAGTTTAAGGGTTCATCTGAAACACTCTCACACACACAAGGCTGTGTTGTAAATCAGTAACTCCAAGTTCTGAGCAGATACAACAGAACCAAATTTGTTGCTTTCCAAGGATCAAATTAAGATAATTGGTAGTCAAGGCACAATGAGAGATATACATCCTAGTTCCTACCTAGTTTCCAGTTTTTGACCTATCCCTAACTTTGAATCTCTCTCACTTTCCTAAGAGCAGAAAAATGATCTTTTTTTTTTTTCTTTCTTTTTTTTTTTCCTTTTTTTCCAAAAACAGAAAAGGAAAATAAGTCTGTAGCTCAGACAAGGATGGATCCTGTTGTTCCATTCGCTGCCTTCCACACACCAAGTCCTTTCCAGCTTTTGCCATATTAGATGAATAGAAGATCTGTGGCCTCATAGCTACTAAGTTAACCTTTCTAAAGACCCCAGCAAACAACAATATCTAGTTGTGCAATCACATATTTTCTAGTTTCCTCTGCAGTCATAATTACTGGAAATTTACTATAAAAAAAATAAATGAATTGGAGCTTTTATTCACATCAGAGTTTCTTCAGCTAAACTATTTAACAACATAATCTTAAATAACATGAGAAACATAATTTTGGAAAAATAAAACATTGTGTGAGTTGTTTGGGTTTTTTTAACTTATTCAAAGACAGGGTTCTATAATGAAAGAAACCCTCCTTTTGTTATAGTTTGTTGTCATATTCAGCTATAGCTCTGTTTATAGACAGGCTCTGATTAAAATAATATTGTTTATAGCATTTAAACAACGTTTTCACCATATCAGCTTTATTTGTCAATTTCTAGTCAAACAGTGCAATTTGAAAAGTGAAAGTAACACTTAACAATTGCAGGATAAATTCTTGGTCAAGTATAACTACCCAAACACTAAGACGTTATCTCCAGAGACTTCAGTGTGACCCTACTCAGAGACAGCAAGGCTTCTTTGACAGAATAAGCACTTGGGCTCTTCAATTTTCCTAAAAGCAGAGCTTATTATGTTCATATATAGATGCTGTTTATAAAGGTGGATAAATATTATTACTTCCACTTTGCAGAAAGGCCAATTGATATCATGACTTGCTCAAAGCGTAGCTTCAGGGGAACGTGGGACAAAACTTATTCAAGCCATTATTGCTGCTCTCAAATTAGGTGAATTTTAAAAACATTCTGAAAAGGTATAGTTAGAGAAATAACAGCAGGCTTGATCAGCTTCAGCTGTTAAAGTTATGTGGAACTTAAATGCTTCATTCAAGCTAAACATTAAGGTCATTAGAAGAATCTGTTGAAAAAACTGTTATGAAGCAGCAAACCGAGTGTTGTGCCTACCAGACTATTACTCTTTACTGTTTCAGATGTAGCATAAAGTGCATAGGAAGAAACAGAGTGGAAAAACTCTTGCTTAATTAACATCTGAAAGTCAAAGACAGTGCCTCCAAAATGAAATATATCACTCAGATTCCAGCAGACTAGCCAAAACTATGGGGGGGGGGGGGGGAAAGAGGAAGAAAAATTAAGATTACAAACCTAGTATACTTATATTGAAATTGCTGCCTTTTTTTTTTTTTTTAAAGAAATTTAAATATTACATAGTAAATTAGATGTGATTTCTGGCAAATTATGCTTTGATACCGCATTCAGCAAGCGCTGGCTTCAATCAATGTCACAGCAAAGCTCTGTTATGCTAATAGCCGCTCGGGAGGCTGAGCCGGATGATATGGAAATCAGATGGTTGAACATGAATAGAAAGCACAGGCCACGTACGAGGGGGCTGTGAGATGAGGGGATGGGGGGACCCTAAGGTTAATCACATCATGTTCAGAACTGTTTTTACAGCACAGAACAGTATTTGGCTGCAAGAATTAAAATGGAGATAGAGAAGCATGAGCGGTAGTGAGCTTTAGTCATGTTGTTCGAAATGGGAAGAGTGCATTCTGCTGCACTCCTTCTGGGATTGTTGGTTTATGCATGACTGAATGGATCTGTTATTCTATTAATAAATGTATGTGAAGGTAGACTCTGCTCCAGTGTTAAAGAGCTTCATGAAAAAAAACCCAAAACCAGACACTTCAAATTGTTTCAAAGAGATTTCTCAACTCTTCTTCAAACTTAATAATTAGCAGAACCTCTAATCTGATGGGATGGATTGCATGCATTTCTTTCCCAGTACTGTTACTGAATACTAAAGGTTACACTGAGCCAATAAGCACTGATAAAGCTGTTGATGTAGAGAAGCTTGACTGAGACAGTGAGTTCATCCCTCTTAGGTGAACTCTGGTCATCTGATAAGAAATGTGGTAGACAACTCAGAAGGAGAGGGGAAAATTACCAGATAAAAATGTGAATTTATAGCAAAAAGTACATTGATCCCATATCAAGCACTAGCAACATTTTCTTCCAGTGACGCGGTTTTCTCAGCAGACCCTGTGATTTGTGGTTCACACTGAATTCAATGATCCTAAGGGA